CAATGCTACATCAACGAAATGAAATGACTAAGTACAACAAATCAACTGGAATGACCATCAGTCTGAAGAGCTGATAAAGAGACAGTGTTGGAATGGACATCAGAGCATGGATGGTGTCGGAATTATCATCGGCAAAGACAACTGAGCTGACCAGGACATCAGCATCAAGATCCCTCTCAGAACCAGTGTAAGTTACACTTTCAATCTTATCCGTTGATTTCACTTATATCTAAGGGCTCAAATTTGTTACTAATGTGAGCTATTGGATACAAGTGGATCAAAGATCAAAATTGATTATAAGACTTCTAACTCTTATACCGGTGTAAGAATATCTTACTTATATATATAAGAGTATTCTACTCATATATATATATAGAAAAAAACTATTTTCATGTTACATAATATAAATTTTTTTTCTACACATCATTCGATAACTGTGCCACATTTTTTTTTCTTTTTTTTAAGTGATGGAGCTCATAAGTTTGTTTCTATAATATGAGATAAACCATCTCCTTTAACATTAGATTAATAATATATATATATATATATATATATATATATATATATATATATATATATATATATATATCCATTATTTGAGAGTAAATAAAGTCTGCATTTGTAGACATATTTTTGGGCAAGGGGGTGTCCCCCACCCCCACTTCTGGTGGAGACACGCTTACCACTAGAACATCAGTGGCAGTTGAAGATTTCAACAGCTGAATCAATTTTAGAGCATATTGATGTTTTCAAGAAAGAAAATGATACGAAAAAGTTTTAAAAGAGATACAAGAGAGCAGCACTTGGATTGACAATTTTTAAAACGGTGCCGATTTAAGAAGAATAAAATTTATACTTAAACTTTAATAATTTATTTATTTAGATCTAACGATTCACACGTTTAATAAATAAAAATTATTAGATGTAAATAAAATTAGTAATTAAAATTAAAAATTAATTTATACTGGTATCGAATCATTTAACACTTTAAACCATAGTTATTAAAACCGGACCGACCTGGCCGGGTCGACTCGGGAATCGGTAAACCGGTCATATAACCGGTCCAGTGGATGCAATGAACCGGCCATGCATCAGAACCGGCGCAACCCGGTCCAACCCGGCTGGTTTTCATAAAAACCGGTGACCCGGCCCGGTCCAAAAAAAATCCAAATTTTTTATTTTTTCAAAAAAAAATCATTATAGCCATATTTGAATATTTTTTTGCTTATTGACTTACATAAGTTACGTACCTACAACACTAATATTATCTCAATTATGTATTATGCATAAAATTTTGAATTAGTTTATAGTTAGAGATGTCGTTTTCTGAACCTAAAACCCCATATCACGATCATTATATTTTAATTCGGTTTTTATTTGATAATAATATGAGATTTATTATATTTTGTATTAAAAATATTTGAAATTTGTATCTTTTTTTTAGATATTTGAGTATGTCTAAATTTTTTTAATATAAATTATAAAATTACATATAATTACCTGGTCATGCGGTTGAACCAGTGACCTACTGGTTGAACTAGTGACCCAGTAACCCGGTACCTCGACCAGATCAATGACCGGGCCGGTTAAATAACATTGCTTTAAACTGAATGAGAATTTATATATATATACACACACACACGCACGCACACAAAAATAAAGTACGTAATTAAAGTATAAGGTGTTGTTTGGTTGAGGAGATCTTAAAATTTCCTTAGGCAAATCAACTTGGCAAAACACAATGTCCTTGTTTGGTAGAGAGATTCATAAAAGTTGCCCATCTATGCCATTCGCATAGCATTTCCCCATTTGGCTTAGAAAGTTAGCCATCTGCACTGTTTAAAAAGAGAAGTTGGACATGGTTTTCCGAGGATAGACGACTAAATTGTAAAATGAAAAAATAAAGCAACCGAAAATAACCTCCTAAAACGCTAAGATATTATCGTAATTGCAACTTTTACGTGTAGAGGGTAGCATCTTGATTCATTTCAAATTTTAAAACAGGGTTATTTTTGTAATAGCAACTTTTTATTCCATCTATATTTTACTTACCGCCAAACATAGACTTTATAAATGTTACCTAATATTCTCGGTAATTTTTTTTCCAACCAAACAACTTTTTTTTCACATTTTTCTACCAAACTCACTTCTCCCCATTTTCCTATCAATAACATTTTCCTATTATTCATAAAATTTTTCCTCAACCAAACGCCCCAATAGATTTTTGTTTGTCTGCCGTGGTGGAGCTTTGGAGTTTTCAGGACGGGTGAGTTTTATCTTACATCTATTAATTTATATTGTACAGACATCTTGCTTTTGTGTTGTCATATAATCAATAATCTTACTTTTTTATGTATTAAAAAAATATAACTATACTTTTGTTATTTTTCAAATCAATTAGAAGATATTAATTTGTGTTATAAATTATTAAAATACATGCTGAAAATAGTTTAAACATTTAACAATCTTAAATTTTTTGGCTTGCTATTTTATGATGTAGTATAGAAAGTTCAAGCATGTAGAGCTGCACAGCTATTTTTTATTTTTATTTTAGTTAAAAAATATTAATAGTATTATTTTAGAAAACAATTTTTCTTAATTTTTTTTTAAGATTAAACTGTTTAATTACTTGTTTTTTTAAAAATTTAAGATATCACCACGTTAGTCTTTTAAAAAAATTTCTATTAGTCCATCAAAATGTTGCGCATTACTATACTAGTTTTAAATATATTGTCATCAGTTTAGTGTCCGAAAAATTTAAAACTTTATTATGGTGGACTAAAAGGTAACACCAAAGATGAACTTGATAACTATTTTATATATTATTAGTTTAATGACAAAAATCTTTGGAGGCTAATATGGTAACACTCAGTTTTTAAGGGACTAATTTGGTGATTAAGATTAACGAGAGAAAATATTAATAAAATAATTATATTTTAAGAGGGCGATTATATTTATTATTATTTTAGTCTTATTACTCTTATTACATAATTGGTCACCGTTAGATTAATTTAAAATCAACAGTTAAAAAAATTGAAAAAATTAACTACTGTTTAATTCCAAATTAATCCAACGATAATCAATTATGTAGTAAGAGTAATAAGATCAAAATAATAATAAATATAACCTTCCTCATATTTTAAATACTTAAATAAAAAGTAATTTGGTCAAATGATGACTTTTTAATTCTTGTTCAATAATCTTAAAAGAAAAGAGAGAGAGAGATATAAGTTATAGTTAAAACTTGGCTGATTATTAGAATAAGTGTTATCATTTTGAACTGGTCTTCGATTCGATCAAGATACTGGGTCAATGAATAATCAATTTAACCAGTGGTTCATTGGTTCATATATATATATATATATATATATATATATATATATATATATATATATGGATATAAAATTCGGAGCATTTGACCAATAATAGAGTTAATTTAATAATACGTACTACAAGTTATAATTCACATTGTCTAGGTTTAAATTTCATTAATAGTATTTTTTAAACATTTTGTTCAAAATTTCACAAATTTGATTTTTTTAAAAAATCAATGTGGTTTAATATTAGTTGAACTCGGTTCAAGATCAGTTCACCAATTTTGGGTCAAATGTATAACCCGTGCAAAACCTAAACCAGAGTGGTTAGGATGTATAGTCCAACGGTAAAGTTTGTTTTTCCTATTGTTGGTACAATAACTGGTTAGGATGTATAGTCTAACGGTAAAGTTTTTTTTTTTTCCTATTGTCGTTTACAATAAATATATATATGATATTTGCATTCATCAGTTAACATGATCACAAAAATTTTTCTACACACACAACCTTTTGTGGAGCCCGCATGTTCTGAAGAAAAAACAATTACGGCACGCAAAACGAATCTCTATAACATAACATAATCATTTTTTCTACAATATAACTCTTATAAAATCCTATATATATATATATATATATATATATATATATATATATATATTGCGAATACGTTTCTGTAAACTGTAAAAACAGGAAGTTAAAGATAGTTCTTTTGCTCCCTCCACTTTCCCTTTTACTCTCAAATTTAGTTTTTTCAATAAATAAGGAAAAAAAGTGTATAAAGACATAAAATTGTATTATTTTAAGTGAGAAAAAGAGATAAATCATAACAGAGAGAACGAGTGAGAAAAGTTTTAAAGATATAAATCTCTCCTCTTTGTGAGAGTGTAAGGATATAAAATGTGTCATTTAAAATAACACACCTTTTTCCCATAAAATAAAGTCAATCTAATAGTCTAGCTGGTCCTTTAGACACTGACCTTTATTGTTTAAGAGTAAATACCTTTTTTGGTCCTCAGCAAATTTTACGATGCCCGCTTTAGTCCCTAACAAATAAAAAGACCCATCGTGGTCCTTAAAAAATTCAAAATAGACCCATTTAGTTGAAATCGTGATCCCTCACAAATTCAAAAAAGATCCATATTAGTCCCTAAAAGGACTAAAATGGATCCATTTTGAATTTCTTAGAGATCACGATAGACCTTTTTATTTGCTAGGGACTAAAACGGGTATCGTGAAATTTGCTGAGGACCAAATAGGGTATTTACTCATTGTTTAACTAACTGCTTTCGTCCAGTCACCAACGATGAATTCTGGGTTTCCTAGGAGTTTACATATGTATTGAAACTATAGGAAAAGAATTAAAAAAAGTAAATGATGACCATTTATTTAATTTACTCCCATTAGCTCCAAAACACAAAACACACCATCCAATCTTCCATCAGCTTATGATTGCTCTCTCTTAATATAATTTTCATCCTTATTTCACTACAAATACTAAAGGTAGAATAAGAAAATGGGTCTAACTCGGATACAGTCAATTGATTAGAATAAGTAGAATTTTGAGGTTGAAGACAGTATCACTCCTTCTACCATTAAGGCACAAAAGAAAAATATGGAGATATAATAAGATGAAGATGCAGACTCAACTTTCAGGATGATTAACAAGAAGGCTTCATTATTGATTTATTTTTGTTCACCCTCCAAAGCACATTCTCAGCTTTCTAGCTAACACATTCTCAGCACCTCTTCATGCACAACCGGCATACCACCAACCTAGAAAGGGGAAAAAAGTGTGGCAACATAGGCGTGAATTACTAACATGGCTATAAATAGCAAGCAAAGTGAGATTTAATTCCATTCAGTACACACAAATAGTAGACATTCAACCAAAACCTCATTATTTTCCCCTAATGGCTCTCTGGTTTGTGCTGCTTATTACACTCTTTACAGTTAGTAAATGTCAGTCCACAACTTCATTCAACCAAACCGACCTGCAGGCAGCCATGGCTGACATGAGAAGTCGCTCTTACTATGGTTTTGTTATCCTCCTCAAAATCCTCAACAGCCAGCCCAACTCACTGCAAAACAATGATCTGACATTCCTAATGCCAAATGATGAAGAACTATCTCAGTTCTCAATAACTCCAGATCAGCTCCATGATTTCGTACTCAGCCATTCTATTCCAACACCACTAGTGCTCAATCATCTATTACATTTTCCAAATGGCTCTGTGGTTCCCTCTAGCATTCCAAGCAGGGTTATCAGCATCACCAACACCGGGAGATCAGGCTTGTTTGTCAACAACGCAAGGATTGTCACACCAAATGTGTGCCAAAGTTCTTTAATAAGGTGCCATGGAATCAGTGCTGCTATGACATTTGACAACATTGTTCCTTTTCACCGAGGTCCAGAACCTAAGGGTCCCCCAAAGAATAGCAATGTGCCAAACCCAGCTCCATCTGTTAAAAAGATGAGTATCCCACCTTTCCAGTAAGGCAAGAAAAATACTTGCCCTTCTGCTGTAATGTCATACCGTTTTATCAATATAATAAAACATCACTTTTTCTGTCTCCACATTCGATCTATTTGGCCTCTAGCCCTGATCCAACTCACAGAGGACATAAAAAATAAGACTAAGCTCATCACAATGTTAAAAATATTGACCAACTAATTAGATTCCACAAATTAAGCAACAATCAACAATTTGTCACAAAAGTACATTCATACATACACCGCATATATAAAAAGCTTACTTTCAAACTGATTTTAAGCCCTCACTAGCAGTACCTTTTTCCCTCTAAAAATGCTTATACTGTCTCGAATCTAATAGAATTAGACTGACTCTTCATCAATTCTGAATGGCCTTTCTATAATATGTAAAAGATTATAACATACACTGAACCAGTACTCATGGGTTTGTTCGGAAGGGGTGGCACTCATTAGATTGACTGTCAGCCTTGGGAGGAACACTATAGAGAAGATCATGGATTTTGGAATACATCAGCATTGAAGAGGGGTCACCACCACTACTGCTCTGTGATACACGAGAACTCTCCTGCAATTTGATCTTCTCATACAGATATTGCTTCTCAGCCTCAGCCTCACTTAATCTTTGTTTCAAATAGTTGCTAGTATATTCTTCCTCTGATTTATCTGACTTGGCAAGAGCAATCCTTTGGAGCCTCTCGGCCTCTCGCTTAGCTTCATTAGCCTTCAATTGGAACATATCAGCCTCTGCATTTTTCAGCCTCACAATTTTCTCTAGTTCTTCAATCTGTATCTTCTTTTTTTGCCTGTCCATCTTGAGTTCTCCTGCTTCTCTGGCCTTGTCTGCTAATTCACGTTCACAAGCCTCAAGAGCCAAGCGAGCCTTCTTGAACATTCTCATCTTCTCATCAGCTACTATTTCCATCTTTCTTATAGCCTCGTGCACCACCTCAGCAATTCTATTGCATGCCTCCTGTGGGGCAATCAGCCTTCCACTTTCTGCATTTTCCAGGCTCTTTGGAGAGTCCACCTCAAGCTCTTCATGTAGGAAAATCATTGGTTAGAACAAGGTGAAAAAATACATAATTAAAAGAAAAGCCAAATATCAGTTGCAACTTGCAACTATAGCATTAGCTTTACTGATCATGCATGCTTTTCTAGTGATTGCAAACCAACATTTTATTCCTAGATGTGTTTAAATTCAGGTTTTAATGAAGAGAAAATTGGAATGAAACAATAATTTCAAAATATAGTCTAAAAGCCTTTTTTTAAAATCATTCCTAACTCAGTTTTAAAGAATTTTCATCCTTTTAGACATAATGAAATATGATACAGAAAAAGTGAATGAGAAAAATAAAATAAAATGCAAACTACAATAATATCATATTCATACTATATATATGAATAGTATGTATACAAAGCCTATGTCAACGAAGAAATTGGAAGACTATAATTTGAAGGTAAATTAGAAAACTAGTACCTTGAAAAACCATCAATATTGCCCTGCATGCAGCCTTAGATTCCACTTTTCCGCTTTTCAGTTTTTCCTTGAGATCATCACATTTCCAAAAGAGTTTCCTCCCTCGTGGGTCTTTACTACCGTGAAAGATCCTGCTAACAAAATCAAGTTCCCTCATTAAGGCCTCTCCTTCCCATGATGGGGCACAATGCTGGAAGACATCTTTAACCCAACCCAACAGTTCTGAAGTCCTATTGCATGCTTGACACCTGAAAACCATTTCACTTGGTCCTGCTCCAGTCTTCACAGAAGGGCCCATGCAAATAAGTTGCTCACGAATGGCACAATCTGTGTGAGTCCAATGAGAACACAAATCACATCCAATCCATCGGCATGTATTCACTTCAAAGTCAAACTTGCTGCATATAACGCACATGCAAAGATTGCAGAAACCATTGCTATTGGTGCATGTTTCACAAGTACAATCATCAGCTGGAAGCTGGTTTTGGCAAGCTATGTTTCTGCATCTCTTATACACAAATATCTCAATCAGTGAAGTCTGCGATAGACTGATGCTAGGATGTAAAAATCCCTGAATTCCAGTATTTATGGCAACAAGGATTTCAAGCTGCACACGGTGTGATCTTATCAATGTCTTGGCTGTTAAATCAGCTCTACTCTGAACATGCTTCTGCAAAATGAAAAATTCTTCCCTATGCTGGGAGCCATTCCCTCCCTCAAGGATAACTCGAAGTCCATTTTTCAGCTCTTCTAGAAATTCATCAGGTAGACGATGCATTTTTTCACATATTATATCAACTCTTTCTCTTGCAATGTCCTGGAGACTAATTTTGTCTGCACTAGAAACACGACGAATAACCGACTGATCAGGGCAATCGTTCTCAGCTTTTCCATTCTCCATCTTCTTTGCAGCGATTGCATCGGCAGTAGGCCAAGTTTCTCGAGAACTCGCACTTTCAGTAGGAGATTCACGGAGATTGTCAGAGTTTGATCTAGGTTCCTCCGGAGAAAGACGAGGATCTGAAGAAACTAGAGACAAAGATGTTTGTAATCCTCCAACCCGGTTCTGCTGTCGTGGAGGGAGCATTTTGGTTTTGCTAAGGCTCCTGTTTTATGTTAGAGCCTAGTGACATACACATAAAAAAGATTTACTTTGCCAGTAAATAGCAGATATGATAATATGCATCTTATACCAGCAGCACACATGATTGTTATACTAGAATTACTACAAAGTTACAAATAGATGAGGAACTTGAGAAAATTCATAATCAGCTAAAAGTTGCATCCTTGGAAGCTCTGCCCCCATTCCATACAAACCTCCAAAATACAGAAACAGTAAATAAATAAAAAGAAAAGACAAAGCAAGCGGGAGACAAAGAATACTTTTCCATGAAAGGTCCCAAAACAAAAATAATTAAATCAGAAGAAGCAATTTTCATAATTTCATGATCAACACAGGATTCACAAGAAAATACATACAGTTTAACACTATGGATTCTACTGCTGATGCTATTATGTAATATCTTCTCATCATATAAAAGAAGCTTGAGAGAAAGAGAGAGAGCTATATATGCAATCTCACAGAAGCTAACTCATCAAATCAAACAGCAGATCAAACGATAAAGATGCAACTTGAATGCCACAACCAAACAAAGTTGACCCTAAAATTCAGCAGTTCAGCTAAAAAGAATAAAAATTTGCTGCAAAGGAAGTTTGAAATGTTCACACAAATTCATGCAATCACAGCAGAAATATCTTTTAATAAAAAAGAAGAAGAAGAGATAATTTAGATTTAAAAGGAGAAGAAGCTCACCGGAGAAGAAGAAAACGCAACAGAAGACTCACCAATTGGAGTGTCTTCACACAAATGGGATCAAAGAAGGAGACGGGGATTTAGGTCAAAGTAGAATTGCATGTGTACCCATTTTACCCCTCGCGGGTGGTACGGTTCAGACCGGGGAAAAGACTGAACCGGCGAACTAAGGAGAAGATGACAAAAACCGAATAATAAATTTGAACTGTGATAGTGGGAAAGAGGTCGTCTTTTTCAACGCCACGGTCTTGGATGACCAGTTCAGCCGGTCTACGCGTTTTTTCTCAAAAGTGGTTGGAAATAAGAGGATCGAAACAGGCATTTTATTCAGTTGCATTGTAGTAGCACTCTTTTTTTTTGGAGCCTCAACGTTTCTTTGTCCTTTCCAACCTTTTTCTTATGTCTCTCCACCCATTCCCTTTTACTTTCATTTTTTTTAATTAAAAGGTTTTACTTGTTCAATTTAGATCGTGGCAAAATGATATAATTCATATAAATTTAAAAATAAATTGTTTATGGGATAGAATATTAGATTAGAATATCAAGATAAAGAGAAAAAGGACGAAAGTAATGAAAGTTAGTAAAAATTGTGATCTAACGATCTTGGAGATGGGTAGATAGAGTAGGCATGAAAAAAGGTAAGTATAATATCTTATTCCATTATTTATTTAATACATCTTTAAATTGAGATAGATTATTCTACCTACCTTTTTTTATGTCCACATTGTGAGTTGTCTATCAATCTCTAATATTGTTGTATCAGAATTTCAAGATGAGAGAAAAATGATAAAAGTTAATTGAGATTCTGATATAATAATAGTATTGGAGATAAATAAAGAAAGTAGGTAGAATTACATATCCCCTTAAAATTATTTTAGGCTTAGATAATTATTTTTGAAATAGAATATTGTGCCTATCTTTTTTTTTATGTTTACTTAATCTACTAATCTTAAACACAATTAGATCATAATATTAAGAAAAGAGAGAAAGAGTGAAAGTTAGTTGAAATTCTGATTCAACATACATTAAATCATTTCATTAAAAATAAAAATAAAATTATTAAATCTTGATGAATGGTTATAAATTTAAAGGATTCCAGCCTGAGAATCATTTATTATGATAATTATTATTTGACTAAATAAACTTAAAGTTAATTTTGAAAATAATAATTAATTTTTTATGATCGTAATTATTATATAATATTATAATAATTGATATTTAGACGAAGAGAAGGAATAACAATATAACTGGTAATGAAATTTGAATCGGACAATATAATCTCATCCAATTGTATCATCTTAGAAAATACTTTCAAATCTGAATAATTTATTTTAAAATTTATATTAATTATAACATTTTGCCTTTTGAGCTGACCTAATAACTCAAAGCTTGTTCATTCACATTGATGAGGTAGACTCCGTCGTCAATCTCATCCACTTTTTTTTTTGGTAAGCAATCTCATCCACTTGACCAATGTACATTATAAATATCTAAGACGCTAAAAATTTTGCTCGCTGTTAGCACTTGCGCTTGATACACATTAACTGACTGCACAAACAATTTATTTTTTTTCGTATTTCGTATTTGATCAACAATTGAGAACTTATTATAATACCGAATAAATCATACAATTTATATGCAATAAATTTAAGAAAATAAAAAATATTTTTTTTCCATTTGTTTTACTGCAAATAAAAATTTATAACCTAATGTAATTAGTAATAAAAATTTAAAGATACATTCCATCCAAGTTGCTTACTATCTTGATTTTATACAATTTAACTAATTAAATAGAGTATAATTATTTCGCTATCTCTTGTTTAAAAATCAAACGTACCATTATTGAGTTGGTATGGCACAGCACAGCCTAATGATCTATGGGGCGTATGCCAGAGCAAGCGCAAATGCTCCGTTCTAATTCTAATAATTCTTATACACCATGGAAAACACTCGCACAAACTATATAGTATACTTTTCCAAAATAAAAGAAAAACTACTTAAATTCAAATATAAGAAATACTTGGTGGTTGTGGATGTTTTAACTACATAAATCACAACGAAAAGGATCAATTACAAGTGCTTCCCGATATGTTATTATATTGAAAAATCCTCAGGTATCTATAAAATACTACTACCAATGTTCTTCAAGAATATGATTTCGCCCGTCAACAGCCATGAAAGAAAGAACGGAAGAGAGAAAACAAAAATGTGGATGAAAATCCGTTCATTTCTGACTGCCAGCCTCAGTAGGTTCGACCACCTCAGCTTCTACAGTTTCTGGGACATGGGGCTGGGATCCAGTGGACTGAAACTGATCAGTAGTTGACCATTTACCAGTGAAAGTACCCATCATCTCATATATCTTTCCTCCAAGCTCTGCTGGATTATCAGGCTACACACCAACAGATTGAGCCAAAAGACACAAGTTTAAAAAGCGTTTCGGTTTGAATAACTAAAAAGGATTAGCACATTGAGCATCTTTGAAACACTTCTCTCTGCTATCAAAAATATTTAGCACCCCAAGCATAGTGCAACTAGTCTTGACATGGTCTAATTTCACAATGGAACTTTCATATCATAACAATAATATCAAGCCATGAGCTTACCGTAAAACCACTGGAAACCAAAGCTGCATCATACAAAAGATCAATAGCTCCGAGGGCTTCTTCATTGTTAGGATTTGTTTTGCAAGCAGCCTGAAAATTACCCATTAAAGTAAGTTACCATAATTTCAATTTGCAATTTATTATAACACTAAACGTATTACTCATGACAAAGAAAAGAATTGGGGATTTCGTACATCCAAGTTCCTGATAATAGGGTGTTCAGGGTTGATCTCAAACACCCGTCTGCTTCTCATGAATTCCATGCTGGAGGCATCACCCATAGTTTGAGACCTCATTAGCCTACAGCAAAATTGATCACACACCGGGGATTGTTACTTATATCTTCAAAATACATCATTTAATATCTAAGAGAAGGAAGACCCACCTTTCCATGTTAGCAGACCAACCATATTTTCCTGCCACCAGAACACAAGGTGAAGAGCTAAGTCGTTTTGAAATTTGAACCTCGGAAACTTTATCTCTCAAACGTTTCCTAATCCAATCACAAGTTTGGCTGAATTCCTGTTTCATCTCCTGTTCGTTTTCCTCATTCTTATCCCCTGCAGAAATAACTAACTATATTTAACATGTTTGAGCAGTAAAGAACTTTGAATCATGAATTCACACCATTGTCAATATTAATATTGGCTCGAAAGAGAGACTAACAAATATTAGGTCAGCAAAATGCTAATACCCTTGACTAAGATGAGTGTTTGTCCAATGTAGCACAAGTCCAAAACAAATAATCAAAAGAAAGCATAAAGAAAAAAGTAAACCTAGATCCAAGTCTTCCTTGCTAATGTCAACAAAATTCTTTTCCTTGTATGATTTGAGGTTTTGAACGGCAATCTCATCTATTGGATCCACCAAAAACAGCACCTGAAAAATTATATTACAGAAACACCAATATATAAAAATAAATAAAAATAAGTTAATTAAAGGATTAAAAGTTACAAAATCTACTAAAAATAAGCTCATACTTCAAGATTTTCCTCCACAAGTCTCTCCAAGAAAGGTGTGTTCTTTGCACTATTCACACTGTCACTGGCAATGTAATAAATATCCTTTTGATCAGGTTTCATGTTCTCAACATATTCATCCAAGCTGATCAGTTCTTCTTCACTTTGGGATGAGAAAAACCGAAGCAATGGAGCAATACGTTTGTGATTCTCACGGTCTTCAATGCAACCCAATTTCAAGTGTTTGCCAAAGTTCTCCCAGAACTTCTCATAGTCCTGCAAACAGAATAAAGCAGCTGGTAAAATACTAACAGGAAGCATGCCGTCCTTTGTATAAAGAGCAGTTATATAAAAAGGTATGTAAAACAACTGAGTAAGATATATATAATGCTAAGGTATCTAAGCTCAATTTATCCTAGTTCTTCAATAAAACACAGAAAAAAAAAAAGGAAAACTGTATCAACTAAATTTTCAGAATGACAATATACCTCTCTGTTCTCACTCATGGATATCCCCAGAATCATGTCAAAAGCCTTTCGAACTAAGCGTTTCCTCATAATCCGCACCTTCAAGCACCATGTAGAAAAAAATTAAGCAAGATAAAACTAATAAGGAATTTCATACATGTATCGTCAAAGAAAATTCCAGGTTTAAACTTTAAGTACATGTGTGCTCCCTATCTACTTACAATGCGGCTCTCTTGAAGAATTTCACGTGACACGTTGAGTGGAAGGTCATTTGAGTCGACCACACCTTTTACAAAGCTTAAGTATCGGGGGAACTGTTCAAGCAAATAACACATCAGTGTATGATAAGATTATGAGAACACCATCCAGTTACTCAAGGTGGTAGATAGCAAAGTGCTTATACCAGTTCTCCATCAAAGTCATCTGAAATGAACACTCTCTTCACATAAAGTCTTATATTCTTGGTCTTGGGATTGATTATGTCATCCTTCCCTGAGGGAGCATAGGCAGGAACATAAAGTATAGACCTAAATTCTACCTCACCCTGCAATAGCAAATATCCCCAGCACATATGTCAATAAAAATAAACATCAAAATATTAGCTGCCAAATTAGTAGTATGAATCTCCTTTAGAAAAAAATTGAGGTTATCATGCTATGTTGTCCAGCTGAAGTCTGAATTAAAGAAATAAACATATCCACTACGCACAACAAGATGACACTTGAGATTTTAGACTGAAAAATTCTTACCTCTGTGGTGAAGTGTGATGATGCTAATGGGTCCAGGTATTCAGAAAAAGTGTTTTTGTAAAATTCATTGTAATCCTCTTTAGTGACTTCTTTAGGGTTGCGAAGCTGCAAAATAATGTCTAAATCGTCATTCAAGTAATAAATTGCCAAATTAGGCACAAAACATGCAATTGGAAATCATAAAACTCACCCAGATTGGATGGGTCTCATTTGTGAGCTCCCAATCCCAGTACCGCTCAACAACAGTCTTAGTTTTTTTCTTCTTCTGTCATAACAGTGTGTCAAAGCCATAAATCAGTAAATATGCAGCAGCTTAACAATAACACTCATATAAACACTTGATTCAGTATAAATGCAGAACAATCAGATAATTACCTCAGTCTTCTCATCATGTTCATCTTTTTTGGCTTCAGCTGGATCCTCATCAACCTCCACCTGGAATGAGAGCAAATTTTAATAAAAGCTCCAAAAGTTATTTTACAATCTTGCTTTTCAGAGGAGGATAAATTAACTCAACACACAAATAATATGGTGATATATAGTGTTATTGAACTAAAAAGATCTGGAGTGTATAGATGGCCCATACTTCTTTGGTGTATCCCTTTTCCTGCCAAGTGTATATCGGGAATGAGACAAAGTGTGAATAATTTTTTACAAGCTTTTGAATCCGCTCTGGATGAGCAAAACCTTTGTCATCCCTCTGAAAGTAAGCAGCAGGTGAAATGCACACATTGTAAGTTCATGAATTAGAAAAACTAAAAAAATTATTTAAAAAGTCAAAAAAGGAGATTATCAACATACCTTAAGGTACAGTGTAAGGCGAGTTCCTCTTGGAATCAGCTTTTCAGGATCTGTCTCCTCAGATATGGTATATGAGCTAGCATTTGCCTCCCCTTCCCAAACATATTGTTTATCGGATCTTGGACTCTTGGTTGAGACAACCACCTTCAAACAACAAAAAATATATAACTACCAGATACTAAATAAAAAGTATTACATTTTTACCTTTATGCAAATACATACCCGGTCAGAAACCAGAAAAGCAGAATAAAATCCCACACCAAATTGACCAATTAAGTTGTTGTCACCGCCAGCATCCTTGCTATCCTTTTTAAATGATATACCTTTGTCAGCATATAAGATACATAAGAGAAAAAGAGTACAAAGACAATAAAATTGTAAACCATTAGTCAGAAGTGGTAAGACCTTCAGAGCCTTCAAAAATTTTGCAGTTCCACTTTGAGCAATAGTTCCAAGACAATCAACTAGTTCTTGCTTAGTCATACCAATGCCTGTATCACTGCAATAAAACAAAAGTTTCAGCACCAACTGAATTTAAAAAGATAACCAAACACTAATTATAGCGATTTATCTTACGTAATAGTGATAATCCCATTATCTTTATCAGCTTGAATTCGGATAACAAAATCAACTGCATCATTTGACAGTTCAGGTTCCGTCACGCTCAGGAACCGCAGCTTATCCAAGGCATCGCTTGCATTGCTGTAAACAAAAATGCATAGATTAACAGAGTGGACAACACAGAAATATGTAACAGCCAATCAATACTAAAGACATATGCCTCTATATTTGGATTTTCAACTTTCTTTTTAGACAGAGTTTTCTGAAAGAAAAAACAGAAACTAAAATACATTTTTTAAAACAGATCCTGAAACTTCTTGCAGTATATCTGGGGGAAAACCATGACACCACAACCAGGGTAAGCCCTTGAAAGGCGGTTTAAGTTATTATTATCAAGAATACAGTTGAATATGTTCCGCACCAATGAAACATAACAAACACCAAGGCTCTAATAATATAATTCCACATCAAATCAGGCGCCTAATGAACCAATTCCAGTTCTGCCAAAAAGATTTCAAGACAAGAAATAAGCAAATATCACTCAAACATCAACAACAGTGATAGAATATACCTGATAAGTTCCCTGAGAAACACTTCCTTGTTACTGTATAAACTGTTAACAATGAGGTCCATGAGCCTACTAACCTGCCAATGATTCATATTACCCAAAATCATGGGCCATGATATAACATGCGTACTTGATGTCAACATGAACTGCACATATGAAAAATGGACATACCTCTGCTTGGTACTCATATCGCTCAGCCGGAGGGGGACTGGACGCAGCTGATTCAGCAGCAGTTGATTCATATCGTTTGCCCAAAGACAAATCTCTTTTCAAGTTTGGCTGATTAGTGGATTTAATGGTGCTGAATTTCTCTGAACTTAAGACAGAATACCATCTGGCTTTGGTGTCATTCTCACTCACCTGCTCGCAACAAATAATAAAAAAAAAAATGTACAATATAACACCCGATTACCTCAAAAAACACGACAACTGTTCAAAATGAGAACAACATGCCTTATCACAGCACTTCAGTTATACTTGAAAAGTACATAATGTAATCTAAGATATAAATATGGAGCTTATATGTGATGTCCGCGATATAAAAATCAAACACAAACACTGAAACTGTAAATTCCAAAAGGAAATAACTATCAAACTACGAAAATTACTATTAAACGACAAAGAAACAATTGTTTCACAGTAGCAATGAAAATTTCTGTATCCAATATGTTTAAAGAAAAAGAAAATTGTATAAGTAACAGAAGAATGCGTAAAAACAGAAAGGACAAAGAAATGGAAGTCCAAATGGATTGGTTACTGAAGCTAGGACCGATTAATAGAGATTATTGAATTTTCAAAAGGAAACTTCTTAGTAAAGCGAGAAAAAATGAAAGAGATGCATACCGAAGCAAAGGAAGAAGAGGAAAGAGGGGCAGCTACGTCCCGGCGAAGTGCGCCGCCGTAGCGCAGTATGGCAGAGACAGAGGAACAGCGCCTAGAGAGCCTGTGCATACTGAGGACAAAGCTTGACAGAGAAGAAGAAGAAGAAGGAACTAGAAGATTCAGAAACTGCGTTGAGGAACGAATTGGTGGGGTTTTAGAAGGGGTTTGTTAGAGCACAAAATGGGGTTTGGGAAGCTTCTGGATACTCCTCCTTTCCACACTTCGCTAAACTTTTCCATTTTCAGGGAAAAAATAAATAAATTCTGAAACGTCACATTTTTTCCCCAATTAATTTTGATACACTGATATTATGAAAAAAAAAATATATATTATTATTTATATTTGTTAATATATCTGATTATTTAAATGTTACTAAATTTATTAAATAAACATTATTAAATAATAATATAGATTTTTAATATAAAAACTACCTGTATAAATTATTTTTTAATACTGTAATATTATTTAAACAGGAAAATTAGGTTTTCTTTTTTAAATTTTTTTTCTCATTATTGTAAAATCAACCTTAGAAGTTAGAACATTAGCAATCTATTATGAATAAAAAAACATACATAAATTTTTAACAAAATTATTATATCTAGTTTTTTACACTTTAATTATTGAAAATAAAATAACTAAAATGATCTATTAATTATATTAATTTTTTATTAATGAATCAATTTTAGAAATGCCGGCTCATCAAACTTTTTTGATGAATAAATAATTTACAAAAAAAATTATTGAAAACTAATGAAAATAATAATGGGGGAAAATGGAAATGATAAACATGTGAATTTTGTATTGTTGCTATAATATATAATAAAATCATTTTTTCAGCTCCGAACGTCTAACAATAAATTTTACACCATTGATTTGATTGATTGTGATTTTCATATTTAATATTTTCATCCACCTTTGTATTAGGGGTGGCAATTTATGACACGACTCGCCAACCCAACCCGAACCCGACACGAAATTTTCGTATTCGGGTCAACCCGTTTAATAAATTAGTCGTGTTCGGGTTAGAAAAATATAATACGAAAATATTCGTGTCGGATCACGGGTCAACCCGTGAATCCGATCTGACCCGCAAATATTTTTTTTTAATTTTTTTAAGGTTATTATGATAATTTTATTGAATGATATCAAACAAAAATATACACCCTAAGTTTCAAACTACTCTTTCACTATCCGCAGCGGCGCTCTTTCCCTCTGTTTCGACTCCCTTTGTATTTGGATTTTCTTTTTTTTCCCCAGTCTTCACTCTTCTCAGGCTTGGATCTTCCTTTCCCACCTCCGTACCTGAATTTTATTTCTTTCCCACCTTCGTATATTGCAATCTTCCTTTCCCATCTACTAAAGTTTCACTTGCAAAATTTTCTTTGCAAGCTTTCAATACTAGAGATCATGCCAAATCATATGCTGCCATGAAGAACGCAGAGAAAGTCTGTGCAAGCTTTTTTGTTTTTTTATTTTTGTTTTAGCATTTAGAATCTTGTAATTTTGATACTTTTGCATAGTTATGAAGAAAAAATTATTTTTTTCGGTGTTTCAAAATGTACTGGAACCTCCAGATTACCTACCAATAACCATGTTATGAAGAATTTTTTTTTTGTTATATTGCAATCAGATTTGCTGCATTTTTTTTGGGCGAGTCGTGTAATAAATGGATCACACTTATAAGATTTTTCGGGTCGTGTCGTGTCAACCCGCAAAAAAAATGGGTCGTGTTCAGGTTGAGAATTTTGACACGAATAATTAATTGGGTCATGTTCGGGTTGAATCTGTTCGTATTCGTGTCAGACACAGGTCGACCCAAACCCGACCCACGAACACGATATGCCACCCCTACTTTATATAGTTACGGTTCTCCGAATTTATTCACCAAGTACCCATCTTAGTAGTTGCAGCACCTTTGTACAAGCCACCAAGGAATAAGCTAAAAAATAAATAAAATAAGAAGCAGAATCAGGTACACAGATCATATGTGAATGCAATATATGTTGGTTTTAGAAGTTATTATTTTCTTTTACTATCTCCTGAAACCCAAGGATAACTGAAGAATTTAATAATGCTTTCCAAAACTAGAACAAGTTTGTGATTTGCCAATTTTAACATTTTTAGGTTATGGTGTACCGCTTGTGATAATAATTGGCAAAAATCTGTGCACTCCGAGGGGAAAATTATGTGTAATTGATTAATGGGACTTGAAACAATTCAAATTTTAAAGTTTTTGTTATTTGTTGACTTCTGGTCAATGAAACAAAATATGTTGGAGATCGGTTTAATTTTATACTTTAGAAAACTATGAAGCACCGACATTTCAAAAACTGTGACGTGTCGTGTTCGACACTCCAACATGCGTTGCAGAGATTCAAAAAAGAGATCAAATTTTGTATTATGTTGCGTTTTTTGTTCAAACTATAATTAGATTCATTTGATTACGATTACCATTTTATTAAATTTAATATAAATATTTGAAATATTTTATGTATCTTTGCAAAATTGGTGGGTATTATAAGTTTAACTTCATTTTTTTATTAAATTGTTGAATATTAAATATAATATACACTACATAAATTAAAAATATTATTTAATATCAAAACGTGTCGAAATCTAACATTTTTTAGAATTAACGTGTTGAAGTGTCGTGTCGTATCCCGTGTCTCGTGTCAGTGTCGGTGCAACATAGCTAGAAAAAATAGATAATTTTTTTTCCTTTCTTCTTGACATAGTATAATAATAATTTATTATAATTAAATATACATTATTTATTAAATGTATTTTTTCTCAATATAAATATAGGGAATAACATCGGTCATTTTAAATGATATAAGCTTATATCATTTTAGATTCTAACCGTTGATTTCTGTCCATCAACGAATATAATTTATTGGATCAAAATTATTAATTAATTAATAATAAATTTAGCTCATTAAGTTTGACCCAATAGATTATAACCGTTGATGGACAAAAATCAACGGTTAGGATCTAAGATGATATAAGGTTATATCCTTTAAAAGGATAGATGTTTTTCCCATTAATATAAATAGATTGTGTCATCAATCACATTTTTAATTTTTTTTACTAAATCTCCTTCAATGAGATGTTATTGCGTAAATCTCAAAATATTATGTGAAATAAAAAAAACCTGATTCGGACACTCGAGCCAACAGTTATGGCCTTTCGAAGTTTTACAGTTAAACTATTAACTTTTTGTGTTACGTGTCATTACCGGACGAGTAGCGCCTGTGTGGGGCGCAACTTTGCACAGGTTATGCCTATGTAAGGTGCGACTTGTTATGCCTGTGTAAGAGATGACTAAGTGTAATAGATTCGTAAATTGGTTCAAAATAACTATATTTTCATAATTTTTTATTAAAATAATAATATATTAATTTTTTTTCCATCTCAAATGCTATAACTATAAGCCAGTTTAGCTTGCATAACTTGCCTTTTAGTACTTTTACCTACTAAAAGAGTAAGTTATAGTAAAATAAATAAATTAATCCAAATGTAAAAGGTAAGTTATACAAGTTATCCAAATGTATAAAAGGCAAGTTATAAATTCCACTTTTTCAAATTGCAATTACCTATAGGGATGTTTGGTATGGAGATTTTTTTTGAAATCTTGGGAAAGTGTTGGGGGAAATAGTTTCCCAAGTTTAGTATGAGAAAAATTGAAAAAAAAAATCGAATTTTTTTTTCTATCATTTGATTTTATTTTACATTATATTTTCCCAAACCAAAATACCATCTCACCCATGGTATTTTTATTTTCCCAGGATTAACAATTTTGTATGACTAATATCTTCTTATTCTTTTGTTCTTCGTTTGCTCCTCAAGCCAGTTTGCTCCATGCACCAGTAGGCACGAGAGACTTGCAACAACTCCATTGAGATAATAGCCAACAAATTTTTTTTTGGTTATGTATGATTTAATTGAGCATTTGTGCACACAACATTCAAATCACATTTCATTCAGAGAAGGCGCAACAACCTTTGTGCTTGTGTTTTCTCTCCACAAATCCCACCCGTTATTCGCTTCAGTACGATATGATCATCAACCGTCTAGTCAACTCTGACCTCACTCAAACTTGTCGTCGACCTGTTCGACGAAATGACTCTCCTTCTGAGACTTTTCCCAAACCGGGCAAACCCACTTCTGAATTGGGTTTATTTTAAATTTTTTAGTGCCAACAAAAATTTCATGCCGTGGAAAGTCTTTAGGATTTGAGGTTCAGGAAGGGATAAGTCGATGTTGGTGTGACAGAACAACCAAAGGAGGGGAATTTCAGTTTGCAAAACCTTTTTTCTCTCTAAAATAAAATATGCAGAAACTGTGTTTGATGGCTTCAAATTGGTGGCCTCCAGGACTTGTTTAGCAGCAAGAACTAGCTATGGTTGGCAAAGGTAAAATATGGCGAGAGGATAAAATAAAGTTGAAGTTGTCTGGCTTTGGTGGTAAGGAGTTAATTTTGTAAATTTAGTACACGTTCCTGCCAATATTTTATAATTAATCAAACATAACATAGGAAAATTAATTCAATATTCACAGAAATATTTTAACTTATCAAATAATTTTTTAGTAACATTATCAAAAAACTTATTTTTTCATCATATTTCAGAAAATTCATAATTCCTGAATAATTTTTTTTCCCTACCAAATGCCCCACAATGTTAATATAAACCTCATAAATCCCCTCCCCCATTCTGACTGGTAAATGCGCGACAAGTGTTATATATCAACATTATAGGTAGGAGTAGGACAAGTTTTATCAATTGAAACAGGGTTTTTAAATAAATTGTTTCCGATAACCAAACAATCATGTAAAAACCTTTGTATAAAAGGCTTGGTATAGATTTTAATTTTGTTTCACTTAATAATTTTGAAACCAGTTCTTAATTCATTAATATTAAAACTCATAATTTTAAAGTGTTTCAATGGTAAAAAAATTATTGTAAAAATACGCTTGATTTAGCATTGTTTGTAAAAGAAATTATCATAAATAAATATTTATACGCATTTTATCCTGACTTTTGAAAAAAAAAAAAAAATTATGTAGAAGTCACAAATAGTTTCTGGAAGCAGGTAGTCATAAGTTTATTTTTTAAGTTCAAAATGTTGTAATATGTTCAACAAAATAAAAAATAAAAAAATGGGATACCATCAATGGCATTTTTTTCTACCTTTCGTAATATGTATTGTTTATTTTAAATACAATTTATCATACACATACTTTCGAGGGGGAAAAAAGAAGAAGAAGAAGCATAACTGATACAAATCCTCCTTGATTACTGCTACAAAATGATGGAGAACATAGGTTTATTATACATACATATATATATAGGGAATAAGGGAAGCAAAAGTAAATATATTTACAGATGAAGCGAAGTATCAACGTCAGAGCTGTCAAAATTTCTTGATGTTGATGCACCCTGTGACCATAAATTCAAAGATGGCGGTGATTTCATGTTGTTGTGATCACCTTGCTTGCTTGTCAAGTTGAGTCCAAGAGAAAGAGAATCATGAAGAGTTGGCCTATGTGGAACCACCAACCTTGGTTGTAGAGAGTTCATTGATGATGAGGTGTTCCTCTGATTCTCTGAAGACAACAAGTTAAGAAGTTCTTTCCCCTCTCTCCTTTCTTTCACCTTTTCCAACTGTCTAAACCTTTCTTGAAGAAGAGCAATGGAGGAGTTCACCATGGTAGGATCATTATCTTGCCTACCCATTTGGCAATGAGAAAAATTTCAATCTTGGGTCTTCTTTATTTGGGGACTGGAGTGGAGGAGGGGATCTATATTTTGGTGGGTTTGGAATGTAGTGGTTTGGAAGTGGTATATAATACAAGGAAGTGCATATATAGGAGATCATCATATTTTAGCTGTTGAGCATTATTTTTTGCATTTGGGTCCTTATAATTGATTCCTGATGATAGCAACAGAGATTAGAATCGACTGCTGTTTGACAACAAGACAAAGAGATAATTGTTAAAAAGTTAGTATAGGGGGGAAGGCAGGGTTGCTAGATGTGTGGCCAAAGGGACTTTTTCAAGGAGGAAAATGGTAAGAGGTAGAGTCCAAATTGATGATGCATAGTAGCATTTGGAAGGGAGTATTTTGGAGAATAAATGGTTAGGTAATGCTTATCTGGGCTTGTCAATTTTAGCCACTGTTTGCTTCGGAGAAGATGGTACATCTTTGTTTGGTCTTGGTGGAATAATATTTCTTTTTATTTTATATGTTTTCAACTGTTGATGGAGCCATTCTTGTTTTGGAGCTTAAGAGGGAGGGTCGTGTTGTGCACAAGAGACAAAAGGAATTGAGAAGGAATATTTTTGGTGTTTGCCATCAATGATTAATTAGTCACTGTGTCTATGAAGGAAAGAGAGAGAACTAACTATACTGTATAAACTATAAACATATGGTTTGGTATATACAGTAAATGCTTTTAAAACTATAGTTAAAGTGATGTTAAAGCCACAGAACACGCATAATCGTATAGACTGACCAATAGCGTGCCTTCTGTAGTCAAATAGTTCTTATATTGACATCACTCATATAAATTATAACTATAAGAATCCAATCATGATTTTTGTAAACAAAAAAGAATGCCAAAACAAGGACGATGGTGATGACTCCTTCCCCGGTGCATCTCTTTGAAGTTCCCCCCAATCAGATGAACATAAATTTTTCTTCCTTCAGTGTAGGAAATGCATGACATTGTGTTAGAATTCAAAAAAATAAAAAATAAAAATTGGGGGATGGTTTTTGAAAATAACTACACACATCCATCTTATTTTCTTGGCCAACCATATCATATTCACAAAAGAAATCTTTTACAATAACTTTGCATACAAGGTAGTACTTTCCTACTTTATTTTATTGTTTAATATGCTTGAAGATCCATTAAAATTCTAAATCACTCTGATCAGATTGAAATGGAATGTAGAACAATATAACTGCTCCTCAAACATTTTTTATTTTTTTGGGTGCAAGCCCATAACTACAGGAAACACTTTTCACCATGGAAAAGTCATTTATGCCATCAAGAACCAATAAACTAAGATGTAAATGGGGCAAAAGGCTTATCTCCCGGTTCATGCCAGATTTAAATTATTATATCAATTAAAATAGAACGGGTTAAAATCTTAAGGTAGTGTATGGTAAAAGTTTTATTTTGGGATTGATGAGAAAGTGTAAGTGGATATTGGAAAATATCATGTTTGGTTCAGGTTTTTGAAAAAAATACTATGCAAGTAGGATGGATGGGGAAATGACTTTTGTGTTTATTTTTGGATGAAATTCACTGTTACAAAATATCACTTGAGATGTGGTATTTTGAGATAACTAGAGAAGTGAAAAAACAGGTGCGAAGTTTCTCCCGAATATAGATTTTGCCAATTTAAATAAATTTTTCTGGTAATATTTCGGTCAACCAAACATCTTTTTTTAAACTTTCCCATCAAACTGACTTTCTTACCATTTTCTCGGTTATTATATTTCTCTAGTAAAAAAAAAATTATCCTCTACCAAACACCCCCTAAAAGAAAAAGTTTACTTAGAAAACAAGCAATAAGTTTTTTTTACAAGATTTTTCTTATATTATATTATTTATTTTAAATAATATTATTTTAGTTTTTTTTTAATTCTTAAATGGCTTAAACAATTTAATAAGCCTAGATCATGCCTTTTGTTTTAAAATATAAATTAAGCGAGGCTTATAATTTACAATATTAGAAATTGAGAATGATTAGTGGTCTAATTTGCAAGCTCCATCAGGAGTATATACATCTTTTTCAAAAAAGAAAAAAGAAAAAATATGAGTGAAAATAATTATAAAGATAAGGATTGTATAAAAATATTACTTCTGTACCGAGTAATATAAAAGTACTCAGGATTACCGAAAATATTTTCCTAATTTACAATACAACTCCGTTCTCCTTACTTTGCAAATAGAAATAAATAAACTCAGATTACCAAAAAAAGAAAAGAAATAAATAAAGTCTTTCAATAACAATATTTAGAACATTTAAGTACATAGAATGCAGGTACGATAAGGCTTACAAGGTTGTGATTGTGAGCTAATTGCAATTGCAATGCAGGCACTGGTTCATTGTTCCGCTTTGCATCCAATTTTGCTTCCTCAAAATCACTGCAAAACACCACAACAAGAACCACACCAACTTCACGCTCTGTATATCAAAAGAGGCATTTTGAACCACCCTGATGTATCTTCTCGCCTTTTAGCTCTCTACGCTGACCCCAAAATGAACGACCTCCAACTTGCTCGTTCCGTCTTCGACAGCATGCAACGACCCACTTTGATTTCATGGAACTTGATCATCAAGTGCTACGTTGACAACCATCGTTCAAACGATGCCCTTGTTCTGTTTCGCGAAATGGTTCACGACCTCCTTCCGGATGGTTTCACGCTGCCATGCGTGATCAAGGGTTGTGCTCGCTTGAACGCCATTCACGAAGGAAACCAGGTTCATGGGTTGGTTTTGAAAACTGGGTTTGGTTCGGATAAGTTTGTGCAGAGTAGTTTGGTCAGTATGTATGCTAAATGGGGTGAGATGGGTTTGGCTAGAAAAGTGTTTGATCGCGTGGTTGATAAAGATATAGTGTCATGGAATTCTTTGATTGATGGTTATGCGAGAAATGGAGATGTTGAAGTGGCAATGATGCTGTTCGATGAAATTCCCAGCAGGGATGCTTTTACCTGGACTGCTTTGGTTGATGGGTTATCCAAATGTGGCAAGGTTGAGGCTGCAAGACAGATATTTGATCAAATGCCTAATAAGAGTTTGGTTTCTTGGAATGCCATGATTAACGGGTATATGAAGTCTGGTGAAATCAATTTGGCCATTCAATTGTTTCACCAGATGCCAATGAGGAATCTAATAAGTTGGAATTCCATGATAGCCGGATACCAGCTCAATGGGTGGTTTTTCCAAGCTTTAGAATTGTTTGAAGAATTGTTGAAAGAGGGACTCATGCCCACCCATGTTACATTACTCAGTGCTCTTTCCGCAGTTTCTGGTTTAGCTGTTATTGGTAATGGAAGATGGATTCATTCGTTTATGGTTAAGCATGGCTTTGAATTAGATGGTTTACTTGGTACATCGCTGATAGAAATGTATTCTAAGTGTGGCAGCATTGAGAGTGCTATGGCCGTTTTCAATGCAATAGCCAACAAGAAATTGGGGCATTGGACAGCTATAATTGTGGGCTTAGGAATGCATGGTTTGGCTGATGAAGCTCTTGAACTTTTTCTGGAAATGCGCAGAATTGGAATGAAACCACATGCTATAACTTTCATTGGGTTGTTAAATGCTTGTAGTCATGCAGGCTTGGTAGATGAGGGAAGCCGAATTTTTCATATGATGATAAATGAATATAAAATTGAGCCCACAGTTGAACATTATGGTTGCTATACTGACATTTTATCCAGAGCTGGGTATCTTGAACAGGCTAAAAATATCATTGAGAGCATGCCAGTGAGACCTAACAAATTCATTTGGATGAGCTTACTTGGTGGTTCTAGGAACCATGGAAACTTGGAAATTGGTGAATATGCAGCCCATAATTTGATCGAGGCGGATCCAGATGCTACTGGATGCTATACTGTACTTTCTAACATGTATGCTGCAGCTGGTAAGTGGGATAAAGTTTCACATGTAAGAGAAATAATGAAGAAGAGAGGAGTAATAAAGGATGCTGGATGCAGCTTCATTGAGCACAAAGGTCAACTTCATCGGTTTATTGTGGGTGATAAATCACATCCCGAAACCGAGGGTATATATGCTAAGTTGAGGGAGATGAGAGAGAAACTGAAACTGGCGGGACATGTTCCTGACACAAGCCAAGTTCTGCTAAATATTGAAGGGGAGAAAGAAAAAGAATCTGAATTAGAGAACCATAGTGAGAGGTTGGCCATCTCTTTTGGTCTCAGCAATATGGAAGGCAGAACCCCTATTCGCATTATAAAAAACCTTCGAGTCTGTAATGATTGCCATGTAGTAACTAAACTCCTCTCTGCTATATACGATCGGGAAATTATAGTGAGAGATAATAGGCGCTTCCATCATTTCAAAAATGGATTATGCTCTTGCAATGACTTTTGGTGACTGCCTTTCCATTACTACATTCGCATGTCATGGATCCTTGTGCAGCTTTTGACACACATCTATAGAGCTTCCCAACCTCCCCGCCGAGGTATTGGTTTTAGAATGGTTATAGTTATGTAATTGAAATTCATTATGGCCTTTTTTCAGTTGATAAAGATGATAAACTTCATGAACATGTGCTATGATCGTTTTATATTATGCTCCCACCTGTCATTTTCTTTGTTTAGAATTATTATAATCCCAAAGTGACAATTACGGTCTTTCAGTTTTAATAGGCATCTATTCTTTTGAAGGTTTCTGCATTTTGAGACTGATCTTGAAGTTTAAGCAAACGATCTAACATTGATTGTCAAACACGTGATAACAGAGGTTCAAAAGTTTAAATTTGTGCATTTGGTTGGTTTTTTTTTTTGTAATTTACCTTCATATAGTTAGGAATTTTTGTTTTTAGTGGAGGCCTTGAACTTGGTTGCAATGTTTGAACAAATTAACATTTGAGGAAGGGTGGCTCAGCTTATGCGAAAACTAGAAAACCAGGTAACACAACCCAATAAATATTCTGAATTCATGCATAAGAGTTGATATTTCTAATATATAATCGCTCTCATACAGATTCTTCTGCTCAGGTAGTTACATCAGTGAAAATGGAGTTAAACACAGCGGAACTGCAAATGGTAGCACAAGATGGCAACTGAAAGGGTATATCTTGGTATCCTCATTGTCCAGGGACAAAGTTAGTGGCATAAGCCCAAGCATTGTTGGCGACGGGATCAGCAACATGGTCGAAAAGGTTCTGGATAGGTCCCTTTCCAGTAACAATGGCCTGAACAAAGAAACCAAACATGGAGAACATTGCTAAACGGCCGTTCTTGATTTCCTTCACCTTCAACTCAGCAAATGCATCAGGGTCATCAGCCAGACCAAGTGGATCAAAGGCACCGCCGGGGTAAATTGGGTCAAGTCCTTCACCAAGTGGTCCTCCACCAACCCTGTATCCTTCAACAAATCCCATGAGCACAACCTGACAAGCCCAGATTGCAAGGATGCTCTGAGCATGAATCAGATTTGGGTTGCCTAAGTAGTCAAGGCCACCCTCAGAGAAGATCTGGGCACCAGCCTTGAACCAGACTGCCTCACCAAATTTCACACCATTCTTTTCAAGGATTTCTGGGAAGATACATCCCAGTGCACCGAGCATGGCCCATCTGCAGTGAATTACCTCAAGCTCCCGGTTCCTGGCAAAGGTTTCAGGGTCAGCTGATAATCCAGCTGTGTCCCATCCGTAGTCACCAGGAAATTCACCAGTCAGGTATGATGGAATTTGGTCGGAGAAGGGACCCAAATACTTGGGACGGTCAGGGCCATACCTGTTTTTTTGACAACAATTCATGCAAAGTCAGATTCTGAAACAAATTGTCAGGTTCTCACTTCAAATATTTACAGAGGATGTTATTACAGACCTTTACAAGACAAGGTAATGACTATATTTGGCTGTATCATGAGCTATTAACCTTTTATATAATCTATTATACTTGTAAAATAAATCACTGGCTTTCTGGTTAGTTAGCCTCATCTTGCTGAGAATTAGTAATTATGTTCTCCAGAGACATGAGATAGAGGATATTAAAATCCATAACTACTAATATCAAATAAAAAGAAGTTTATAATATTTTGTAGTTTAACTACTGGGAAGGCTAACGTTTATTGCAAATTTGAACTACTTACCAAATGCTCTGAGGAGCACTCTTCACGGTACGGCGCATGGTAATGCGACCTTTGCCAAAGCCACCGGTCTTCCGGACGAGCTCATTTGCCTGCTTCAAAGCAGTCTGACCAGTGAATGCTGATTGCTGGATAGCAGAGGTAGCCATGATAATGTTAGGCTTCTTGCACTTTGGTATTCCCTTTGGTGATAGATAGTGTTGTGCAGAATGAAAGAAGCCTACAAAGGTTTATAGAAGTGTGGGGAGAGGCCACGGTGGAAATCCTATGATATTGTGGATGAGGATATGCACAACTCAGCAACTTCTCATTGGTGGTGGATTTGGATGTGGATTCCCAACCTGATATTTTGTAATCATAAAGATGCTCTCCTTCTGCCATGTGGATACAAAGATCTACTTACTTGCTCAGAGATGTTTTGGAGAGGGTGAATGTAAGCCACAGAAATCAGGTCCACCAAAGTTCAGAAAGAAAAATTAAAACTTGGGAGAGTGTTTGGATTGGGTTGAGGCTACAGCCCCTCACATCTTTTTTTCTTTTTTACCGGCTGCTACTGTTAGTTAAATAAATAAATAAAAAACAGCACTGGAACCACATATAAATCAGGGTGCAGAACACAAACTGGCAAAGACTGCTGCCGGCACCTCAACCTCAAGAATACAAGGTGGCAGCTCATTGTCGCTAAATTACAAATTAGACTTGTGTGGGAATTAGGGTTTGAGAAGAGATAGATGACCTCCTTGGTGTTAAAAACACTCTCGTTAAGCAAACAGTAAAAAAAAAAAAAAAGTGTGAAAATGAAGTTTTAATATACTGTTTTTTTTTTAAGTATAACAGTATTAGTTTTTCAACCCTCAATAAATCATAATTAAGAAAAAAGTATATTTAAATGAAAAATTAGCATGATTAATATGAAAAAAAAATTCAATACAGTTAAAAACACCAAAATAGTTGGGAAAAAAATTCTATTTCAACCTCCTGTAACACAATAGTTAAGAAAATAAATTAAATTTAAGTGAACAAAGGACATAATTAATTAGAGAAAATTTATCAAAACAAAATTTATCAATTTTTTTCTTAAGTATACTTATTTATTTTACTTAAATATGAAAGTTTCTTAATTATACTCTTATTAGTAGCTAAAAAATATGAAAGATATTAAATATTCGATTCAGACCTTATTTATAATAGTTTCATTAATTTTATTTGTTGTCACGTACGTCAAAATTCCATAAAGAGTCGTGTGATTATAAACTCAAGCTTTTTTTTTTTTTTTTTTGTAATATAAACTCAAGCTTTTGATATACTCTACACGTGGTTACATATTTACTATAGAATTTTTATAATATGTAACTCTAGTAATAGTTTTAAATTATCTTTTAAAAATAGTTCATTTTTTGTTAGGCATATAGAATTAATCTTTATTAAGAGTATATAAAAACACAATTCGACCATGAGATGCTTGATGATTTGCTTAATAGATGGTATTTTTAACATAAAATATGAAGTTTCGTTCGAACATTTTTCAAAACTGAAGATATGAGCACGATTGCCTATAGCATCATGAAGGTAATTAGCTTCTCTACGAACCCAATTGGTATTCAAATCCTGAAGTAGTTTAATGAGTGAGAGATATGGAGCTAATGGGCAGAAGCAAGAAGTTCTACTGAAATTCATGAGCTTAAAACTGTAAGTGCTTACCTTCACACATTCACTGCAGTGAAGTGATGGCTGAATGAAGTTTATATATATACATAGGTAGTATGCAAACAAATGATTATCCTACTTGGAGACTATAAACAAATTAAAGGTATTAACCAAAAATGATTATATGCATATGCAGCAGCAGTATGCACTGACCAAAGTGGTATATGACATGAAGATGACCGATGGTACCAATTTTACAGAAACAAAATCAACTATTGAATTATTAATCACAAATGTGGGAGACAGCTCCTTCAATATTCAACCAATTCAGTGTAACAAACAACTATTAACTGCAACATTAAGGAATTAGAGATTACATGACTCGAGTTACGGACTTCAGAAAATTAGAATACAAATAAAAGAATACCCAGAAAAGATTTACCCTCTAGCTCCCCCTACAAGAGACTACCTATCTAGTAGAGTTCCCCCGATATTCCCAATGCGTGTCTAGTTGATCTGCCACAAACGAAATGTCATGCCCATTTGGTTAAATATTAGTCCTACAGGGAACAAAAGGAGCATCAGAATTGGAAAACCCCGAGAAACATAGAACCAAGGTGGATGACTGGAGAGTACAAAGGGAAAAGTATTTGGTTCTGAAGCAGAATTAGTGCTGAGAATATATAGAAGAATCTTCAGGGCCAATTCAAACACCCATGAAAGAGCACCAACCAGGACACAGATAGCCCATTGAGTAGCATTCAGCCGCATGCAATTTGCTAGGCCTTTTAAATACTCAATCACCAGCACCTGCACAAGAAAACAAAAACCTAAAGCCACCAAGAAACAGTAGCTCTGAAGAACAACCTTCAAAACTTCCGTTTTCAACATTTGCATGGTGTTGAGCTGATTGAAGAGCTGGCACAATAGGAATGTGTTGAAGATCATGGTTTTCCTAACTTCTTTTTCGCTCCCAGTAACTTGTCCCCCAAATTCAAGTATCATGGATACAGAAGCCTGATATAAGACCTGAATAACTATGTTCTTCCAGATTTCTTTGGTTATAATTGGCTGATTCCTATCAGATGGTGGATTGGCAAGCTCTTCCGCGCTATTTAACTCCATTACCATCATTAGGCCACCCAGAAGGCACATTAGCACATTCACCCAAATCAATTGGATTGCTGTAAGGGGAGATTTTCCAGTAGTTACTGTTGTAATCAAGGTTATGAGTAACCCTGATATGATAGATGTCTGCTGTAGTTGAATGAACTTCTGAATATTGTGATATTTACTTCTGCCAGCCCTCACAATTGGCATCAATGCACTGAAACTTTTGATAGATATACTGGAACTCTCTCTATCCACTGTACTGCTCAGAGGATCATGAACAATCCCAACATCCGCTACCTTTAGAATTGCAGGATGACTAGTCATCAACCTTCTTCCAACAAATGCAACCACATCACCTTTTTGTTTCAGGCATTGTACCATGAGAAGCTTGTCTTCAGGACTGAAACTCACCATTACAAGGGCTTTACCCACCTTATCTAATCTAGCACTGGTATTCGAATCTTGAAGTTCTTTTCCTTCAAGCACAAGAACATCTTCTGGTACTTCTAGTCCTAGTTCACAAGCTTTGTCTCTCACTACCATGATGTCATCCTCCGAGACCAATTTGATCTTTATTCCAGTATTTCTGAGATCATCCAAATCTAATTTTGTCGATTCTTCTTTGATACCTATCAGTCCTAACAAGATCAGTTCATCTTGCTTAATTTCTCCCTCATCTTGCTTAAGTTCTCCCTCATTTGGTTGTCTATAAGCAAATGCAATAGGCTTGAGGCCACTATCCTCCATCTCTTTAATCACCTGCCCAAATTTGATTTTCTGATTTTCCATGGCATGGCGTTCCCCTTTACTATCATAGTATAGTGAACACATTTCCAATATTGTGGATGCGGCCCCACTCCAGTGCAAGTGCAGAACTTGTTTATTGTCACCAACTTCTCTCACCAAAACTCCGCTGCCCTCTTTGTCAAATTTCTGCTTTAGAATGTCAAATTTTTCTGTGAAAGATTGCATGTTCACTTCCAATGTTTTTTCTGGCCAAGAAATAAGTGAATTGGACATGTGAGAAAGAGAAACTCCTTGTTTAAGCAAGTCAAGTACTGTTTGATCTATTTCTGATCCTTCAACCTTGCTGATATCTTTCTCCCCCATCCAGATTCTGCTAACCTCCATTGATATGAGCCCACCTGACACATCAATGCAGATGACAGTTACCAACCCCATTGTTGTACAAGCTGATAAATCGTTAAGAACTGCATCATGGTTTTGCTCTACCTTATCAATCTGGTAATTGAGAGAAATTGTAACCATAAGTGGCATTCCATGTTGCACACATAGTATGGCAACAGTAACAAAACCTGTCAAAATGGAAATCCTTCCTTGTGGTCTCCAAAAAATTCTTTCAAGGGCTTCCATCAGCAAACCAATTGTGACCTTCCCCTTGATTTCTGGCAACTCACCACTGTCCGCATCTTTTTTACAAATTAGGCGAATGAACACCACAAGTGCAACCAGCACAGAGATAAAAAGAGCAGACTTGTCAATGTAAGAAATTGGCTTCTCAATTAGTCCCTCCAATAGGTCTATCTTTTCAGGATTATAACTCATTGCGCTTTGCATCTCAGACTTGTCCTTTCCCTTTGCCAATTTCACAATTTGTCTTTCACGCCAGAAGTTTGCTATTGAAGAGAATGCAATCAGCAGGAAAACAGCAAAAACTATGGCAACACCATCATGCCAACCATATCTAGTTCCCTCCTGCTTGAACTCTGTGGCAAAGGACAATCCTGCTGAGATCAACAGCATTAAAATTGTGTAACAATTGCGTTTGCAGCTATTCAATAAAAAGCTAGACAAGCTTCTTCCATGAATTGCAAAAGGGGTCTTGTTGATACTAAGATTCCCATTATCAGTAGAGCTCTCCTGTTCATAAAACGAAAATTCCATCAACAAAATACATCTTTCTCAAGCATCTAAAAACAACAGTTAGTAGATCCATCCTTAACACTTTCAAGCATTTAGATAATTCAGCTCAGAGTAATGATACCCCAAATATACCAAAACCAAAAAGGATTTATAAAAAAACATAACATCCTACATGTTCTACAGCTTCTTCTTTCTCCTCTTCGGCATCAGAGACTATTTCAATTGCAACAAAAGATTTGGCAGAGGAGGTTCTAGCAGGAGGCTCCGATGGAGGCAATGATGTGTATGGTACTGAAGAAAGTGGAGATTCATGGCTGCCACTGGAAGTTGTTGGCTTCTTCAGAGAGATGAGGAATCCTATGTATAAGCTTTTACGCCATATCTTGGTGTACTTGCTTGTGAGGAGTAAGCTAGCACCAAGATCAATATTGGCACCATCAGCACAAGCTGAGGACTTGCTTGCTTCGGACATGTTTGTGAGTTGTGACAGTTAATTTGTAGTTTTGTACAATGCTCAGGAAAGTTGGGAAGAACCAAAATGGTTGGACAGCCCTTTTAATGATTCAAACTGAACAACTCAACATTTCTTGTAAACACTCAGTTCTCAAGAAATGGTTTTTCAGACACCCATCTTACTATGTGACCAAATGGCTTTAGTGTTCTAAGGAGGAGGTTGAGAAGTCCACCTTGGTTATATACACCAATGGGGTTTAACAAGGAAGGTAACTCTTTCCTCAAACTCAGTGATTGAGATGAATGAGAATTTGTGGAAAATTACCAGCTCAAATAAGATGAGAAGAAGGGGCTTAAGCTCAAATGAGAGTGATTTAAAAGCTTAAACATATCTCAAAACTTTTTTATGTGAGTACGAAGCAAAGGGTGGTCATTATATTTATAGGACTCAACTGGGACAAAAGTGGAAAAAATTTAGTAACTCACCTAATTATATTTACATTCATTTTCTTAATATGTATTTATTTATTTATAATGACAAGTCCATATGTTATAATATAAGTGGTGTAACAGTAGATTCTCATATTTAACACTAAAATTTTTGTTACAAATGTGGTTTAAAACTCTGACGCGGTTTAGACGCGGAGAGTGTGGAAAAAAGGGGCTGCTAGTGCTACCATATATTTACATATACACAAATTTTTTGTCAATGAAAATATGTGGCCACAATTTTGAGATGCCAAGGAAACAATATAGCAATTTACAGACACCAATTTTCCTTACACATCTTTCTTCATTTATCTTGCACTATGTATATTGCAAGGGGAAACATTGCAAAGTTAACACTAAACAGAATTTTAAAAAGGAACTATATATTATAATCTTTATCAATCTAATCATATAGTTTTCTGTGAGACATTGAAGTATGCACTTTAGGTATGATTTGAATTTTGAACCCATGCACCTAGGGAGTGTAGAGTGTTATCATTCAGCATCCCTTCAAAATCCTCAAAATTTTAAAGATTCAGAAAAGCTCATTTTATTTTTAGGTTTATATCTAATCCAAACGCAATTACAAACATGGTTAAAACTAAATGGCTCCACTTGAACTTCATACTAGTGTCTTCTATTAGACTATCACAAATAAATGAAGGCTCGTGCAAGCACCATTATTGGAGAAAATTCCTAATAAAGCAACGAAAGCCTTAAGTATGATTTCAAGAAGCATTCCCATGAATCATCAATATATTATACAGTTTATTTTCCCATAAAAAATAATTTTGAAAAACAGTTGATTTGCAGATATCAAGAATGCTTTATTTGTTTTCATGTTTTTTTTTTTAAGATAATATATTTTTACTATAATGACAAAAAATACCATCTTATTTTCTAACTTCTTTTTTACAGCTTTGTCTATGATGATTGCGCAGCAAACATTTGATGTTATTTAGAGATACTGAACTAGTCTAATTAGTTTAAGGTTTTTTTTTTTACGTAGTTTAAGTTTTATTACTATCAATGTTATTTGCATGGCATTTTAATTATATCATTCTTACACAACTACTGTGGATATAAAATAAAGAAACACATTTCAACACATTTTTTTTTTTACCAATTGTGCTGTTGTGCGGAATACATTAAACATTTCCCTTATCTTTTGATATTAGCGTATTTGTACTGTATGTTACTTCTATCCAGCACTATCATCCAGGATCAAGGTGTGAACAACACAATGCATGCATAGAAAAGTAGAATGAACATGTTGATCTTTTATGAGAAAAACAAACATAAGAAACAATATTGTGCAACAGCTTATTTTATTCTGATTAATGAACTTGTTTTTAAATACAAACTGAGCTCATGCGGTTGCTACTAACCAGCTGATTTTGTTGGTCCACAAAATCAGCAACAAACTAACAAAGCAATAACAGTAAAATGCAGTAAACAAACTCCTAAACAAAAGACTAATCAATTTAAAAAACAACTAATTAACTCCTAAAAAATAGGACATCAACAGCAGCCTTGAAACACCAACATTCTCCTCCTGGATCAAGTGCTGCACACTCCTAGCTTCTCCCTGAGAAATTCAAATCGACTAACATGAAATGACTTGGTGAATATATCTGCAATTTGGTTTTCTGAACTGCAGTACATTAGCTTCACTTCTCCAGCCTTCTGCACTTCTCTCAAAAAATAATACTTGATCTTAAAATGCTTTGTTCTTCCATGAAATACTGGATTCTGTGAAATAGCTATAGCAGCTTGATTATCCACAAATACTTCTATGCCTTCTTTTTGCTCCAAATGCAGGTCATCCATCAGCTTCTTCAACCATAATGCTTGGTTTACAGCTGCAGTAGCTGCAATGAACTCAGCTTCTGCAGTTGATTGGGCCACTATTTCCTGCTTCTTTGAACACCAAGAAAAACAAGCTGACCCAAATGTAAAACAATAACCCGAAGTACTTTTCATATCATCCACTGATCCAGCCCAGTCACTGTCAGAATACCCTTGCAACTTAAACTTCTGAATTCTGCAGAATTTGATTCCATATAAAAGAGTACCTTTCAAGTACCTTAACACCCTTTTTGCAGCTACCATATGCAGTTCACTTGGACAATTAAGAAACCTAGACAAGATACTTACGGTAAACATAATGTCTGGCCTAGTTGCAGTGAGATACATAAGGCAGCCAATTAAACTCCTATAAACTCTTTCATCTGCAGATTCCGATTCATCTTTCTTTTGAAACTTTTCCTTTTGACCCATTGGAGTACTTACACTCTTGCACTCCTCCATGTTGAATCTTTTCAGAATCTCCTTCAAGTGCTTCTTTTGATAGATAAAAATTTCATTTTCAGTTTGTCTAACCTCCATCCCCAAAAAATATGACATCTCACCAAGATCAGTCATTTCAAACGTTTTCATCATTTCCCTTTTGAATGCAGTAATTTGAGAATTATTACTCCCTGTTACCAGCATATCATCCACGTAAAGAGACACCACCACTAAGTCAGATGCTAACTTCTTGACATATAAAGTGGATTCACTAAGACTTTTTATGAAACCCAAACCCAGCAAGTGCTCATCCATCTTGCTGTACCATGCTCTAGGAGCTTGCTTCAAACCATAGAGAGCTTTTCTCAGCAAATAAACCTTCTCCTCCTGATCTGGTGTGACAAAGCCTTCTGGCTGCTCAACATAAATCTCCTCTTGCAACTCTCCATTCAAAAAAGCAGATTTCACATCTAACTGATACACTTTCCATCCTTGTTGAGCTGCCAAGGCAAGAATCATTCTAATTGTATCTAGTCTTGCAACCGGAGCAAAGGTTTCTGAGAAATCAACTCCCCAAACCTGTGCATATCCCTTCACCACTAACCTGGCTTTATGCTTATTCACTGAGCCATCAGGATTGAGTTTGGTCCTGAAAACCCATTTTACTCCAATCATTTTCCTGTCCTCAGGTCTTTCTATTAGCTCTCATGTCTGATTTTTTTCTATCATAGCCAACTCTTCCTTCATAGCATTCATCCACCTCTGATCACTTTTAGCTTCCTCATAACTTGAAGGTTCCAAAACAGCCACACTACACCTCTGATATATATCAGTCAGAGATCTGGTACCTCTAATTGGATCATCATCTACTAGCTCATCATAATCCAGTGAGACCTCCTTATGCTTTGCTTGTGGCTCATCTCTCCAGTCCCACTGCTCATCTTCTAGGAACTGAACATCCCTGCTATTGATCACCTTCTTTGTCTGTGGTTGATAGATCTTGTAGGCTTTTGACACCAGACTATAGCCAATGAAAATTCCAGGTTCAGCTTTTTCTCCCAGCTTGTCTCTCTTGACCTGTGGAATGTGAGAAAAACACAGACAACTAAACACTTTCAAATTTTTTAGAAATGGCTTGAAACCAAACCAAGCTTCGAAAGGTGTATTCTTTTCCAGTACCCTTGTAGACAGTCTATTTAACAAAAAAACAGCTGTGTTTGCTGCTTCTGCCCAAAATTCTTTTGGTAGATTCTTCTCATGCAGCAGACACCTAGTCATTTCCATAATGGTTCTATTCTTTCTTTCACTAACTCCATTTTGCTGTGGAGAATAAGGAACAGTAAGTTGATGCTCAATTCCAGCTTCCTCACAGAAAGTGTTAAACCTTTGTGAAGTGTATTCTGTTCCATTATCAGATCTGATGACTTGAATTTTGCAGCCACTTTGAGTCTCAACCCATCTCTTAAACTTCAGAAATATCTCAGCAACTTCTGACTTTTGCTTCATAAAATAAATCCAGCACATTCTAGTATAATCATCAATGAAGATAAGAAAATACCTGCTGCCATTTAGTGAAGGAGTCACGTGAGGACCACAAAGATCTGTATGAATTAGTTGTAGCTTCTTTGTAGCTCTCCAGGTGGATTCTTTGAAAGGAAGTCTTGTCTGTTTGCCCAAAGAACAAGCTTTGCACCTTGTGATCTGCTCCTCCAGGATTGGTAACCCAGTTGCCATTTCATTCTTCTGCATGAATAGTAAGCCTTTGTAATGAAAATGCCCCAACCTTTTGTGCCATATTTCTGAATCACTAGCCTGACACTTGAATGCCGCTTGCTCCTTCTCAAGGGGATTTAGAGAAAAACTCTTCTGTTGCATCTTTATTATGAACAGCTCCTGACCATTTGAGTCAAAGATCAAACACTTCCCTTCTTCAAATATCACTTTAAATCCCTTTTCTACCAACTGCCCCACACTCAGCAAATTCTGATCAATATCAGGCACGTACATCACACCAGAAACCAGCTTAGTTCCAGCATAGCTCTCTATTGCTACAGTCCCTTTACTTTTCACTTCTAGATATTCTCCATTTCCAATTCTCACTCTTGACTGCAATGACTTGTCAAGGTCTCTAAATAGCTTTTCATCACTTGTCATGTGGTTTGTGCAACCACTATCAACAAGCCAACTATCACATGGAGCACTAGAGGAGAAACAAGAGGCAGCAAATAATTGATCTGCCTCATGCTGGTCTGCAACATGTGCCTCACCTTGCTGCTGATCTCCTTTTTCTTTGCAGAACCTTTCAATGTGTCCAAGCCTATGACACTTTCTGCACTTCACATCTGGCCTCTTCCAACATCTGAAGTGTGGGTGATTCTGCTTTCCACAATGCTTACATGAGGAATGCCCGCCCCAATTGTTCTTAGAGTTGACTGCATTGTTCTCTCCTGCAGCAGCTTCTGAACCACTACTGTCATCTCCTTTCTTCCATCTTACATTATGTTGTTCTTTAGCCTGCAAAGCTCCTTCTGTACTTCCTTCAAGCCTCATTAACCTTCTCTGCTCTTGTGCTTGCAGAGCACTTAGCAATTCTACCAACTTGATTTGAGACAAATCCTTGGTATTCTCCAAAGATGCAATGGTTGCTTCAAACCTTTCGGGCAAGGAGACAAGAACCTTTTGCACTAGCCTATTATGAGAGAGGTCAGTGCCTAGAGCTCTTGCTTGATTTGCAATATTTACCAACTTATCAGAATACTCCTTAATTGTTTCAGACTCCTTCATCTGCAATCTCTCAAATTGTGTGATTAGATTCAGCCCCTTCATGCTTCTAATCCTCTCATCTCCTTTATACTCATCTTTGAGGAAGTCCCAAATAGCTTGAGCTGATTCACAAGCCATAATTCTGCTAAAAATGGCAGGTGAGACAGCAGCATATAAACAAGACTTTGCCTTTGCTTTTCTTGTTATCCTCTCCTTATGAAACTTGATCTGATTGATGGTTGGATTATCAGGAAGGGGAGCAACTTCATAATCTTGTTCTACAGCTTCCCAAAAATCGCAACCCTCTAGATAGGCTTGCATTCTCACTGCCCATGCTTGATAATTTTCTCCATCGAATATTGGTGGAGCCATTGCTGAAAAACCACTCGATCCTCCCTCCATTAATTTCTCAAGTCACTCACAGCCCCTTAAGATCAAGAAGGCTCTTGATACCAATGTTGATCTTTTATGAGAAAAACAAACATCAGAAACAATATTGTGCAACAGCTTATTTTATTTTGACTAATGAACTTATTTTTAAATACAAAACTGAGCTCATGCGGTTGCTACTAACCAGCTGATTTTGTTGGTCCACAAAATCAGCAACAAACTAACAAAGCAATAACAGTAAAATGCAGTAAACAAACTCCTAAACAAAAGACTAATCAATTTAAAAAACAACTAATTAACTCCTAAAAAATAGGACATCAACAGCAACCTTGAAACACCAACAGAACACAATAAATGCATTTCAAAAGCCACGCTAGTACAAAACCTACACCAAGTCACCAACTTAATTTGTATTACGGATAGGAACGATCTATGGCCCTACTATTCCTAATAAAGCAACGAAAGCTTTAGGATCACAAGAAGCAATGCCATGAATTACCAATATTATTTTAGGGATTATGGAGCCGCTTCTTATGTACAGTGATAGTGATTAATTAATGTTAGACATGACATACTAACTGTAGGATGCAATAACTGAAATCCAATAATTGTAATTCAATTGGTAATATAGACTGATAATTGAAATTCAATGGATACAGTTTAATTGGTAATATAAGCTGAGTAAGTAGAGAGAATTTAAATTTGATTTCCATTAAATACATTTTTGGAAAAAGGGCGATTTAAGTGTGTCTAAATCCAAACTTGATATTAATAGCCGCTTTAAAGATATAATTTGGGTCGTGTAAAAAAATAAAAAATAAAATCAATAATTGAGTTAACAAAAAATAACATAAGTCAATGTTGTTTGATAAAAAACCTTACGAAGTCTTTTGTTACTCTTAAAAACAGTTATTCATAATATATGGTAATTTTTGAACCCTTGAATTGATGATTAATAATTGGGAATGGAAGCATGCTCTTACGCTGTTTTAAGATTGGAACTTGTATAGTTAAAAATCAATCACTCAAAAGTTATTAGTTTACTGACGTCTCAGTTATAAATTGAGATTTGACCTATTCAAAGATAATGAACTCGATTCTTAAGAATCGTAACTCCTGAAAAAGAGATTCAAATGCGCAACTGAATTAATGAAGTTTGCATTTCGGACACAGGTTACTATCTAACCAAAACAAAACAAAAAAGTCAAAAGATATCCGGATCTAAAAGGACGATACAATGCCAAAAAAATACAGTTTATTCCTCTTTTAAAAAAAATAAATTTGAAAAACAGTTGATTTGCAGATATCAAGGATGTTTTATTCGTTTTCATAGATAATATATTTGTACTATAATTACAAAAAAAATCCATCTTTTTTTAACCTTTTTTTTTTCACAAATTGATCTATGATGATTTGTGCAGCAAACATTTGATATTATTTAGAAATACTGACCTAGTCTAATTAGTTTAAGTTATTTTAATATCGATGTTATTTGCATGGCATTTTAATTATATAATATACTTACAAAACTTCTACATTGGATAATAAAATAAAGAAACACATTTTAACACTACTTTTTATTTACCAAATGTGATGTTAAAGAATTGTCTGTGGAGTACATTAAGATTTCTCTTCTTTTAAGTTTTAATATTGGTGTATTTGTACTATATGTTACTTCTATTCAGCAGAATCATCAATATCATCCACGGTCAAGGTGTGAATACAATGCATGCTTATAAAAGAGGAATGAACACAATAAATGCATTCCACAAGTCATGCTAGTACAAAACCACACCAACTTAATTTGTATTACGGATAGGAACGATCTATGGCCCTACTATTCCATAGGGGAAGGCCATTCTTCGATTCTGATATCACCACCATGCTCACTCCCCAACATGATTGCCATTAGCATAAGCTTGCCTGCAACTGAGAAATCCTTGTGCTGCATCAATATTGTTTCAACTGAAGAACTCATATCCCCCATAAAAGAAGTCTCCATATTTTCTTGTCTCAAGGACAATACTTGGTCAAATCCTTCTTCAAAGGTTTCACTTCGGGGTCCATAACACCTGCTTGAAGCCTGGAAAAGAATAGTATTTTTCAAGTTTTGCAGGGTTTCCTCATCACTCCACCCTTCAACTATGTATGAATCATGGAATTTACTCCAATCATCCTGACTGGCAGCCTTCTTCCAGCAATCCTCCAAAAGTTTTTTGTGGATTTTGCGAAATGAGGAACTGGTCCATGCAAACACATCAAAGGCCCACAATGACAGTTCTCGCTCTTCACCTTCCAGACACAAATTAATCAAGTCTTCTGGATGAAGCAGCTCATCTTCAACAAGTTGCTTATCTCCAATGGAAGGTAGACGTTTCATTACTTCCACCTGCAGGTCAAATGTTTAAGTGCAAATGGATAAAAAGGACTCTAAAAGGTGTGACAAGCCTCATCTATTAGTGTCCAACCCCTAAACAACTTTATAAGCATACTCATTACTAGAATTGAAAAATCATAGCATTTTAGCATCAGGCTTTCTGTTGGCTCTTAACATAGCAAGTTGCCTCTCAAACTTCGGTTTTATGAGGTCCCCAATTTTCATTGATGCCTAATATTCATGAAGAATAACGATAAATGTGATTGAGGAAAAAATCATCAACTTCATGTTCAAGTTGACAATTCAAATCTACCTGTAATTTTAGAATCTTCAAATCAGCCTCAAGGCGATCCACCTTCACCTGAGTACCAGCATCTTTACCAGCTGTTGGACAAGAAAAGGCAATAGTAATTATCATAACTGCAATTTATCAGGCATCTATTTACCAGGAAAAAAGAAGGCATTTAACTTATTAAACAACCAGTATCCAACTGAAACATTACATATAGATAAAAAAAGGCACGTCTGAGAACAACACCAATATTTTCCAGTGATTTCAAAACCAGACCCAAAGCAGTACAAGATAAAAGGCAATGGGTCACATGTAAATGGGTACAGTCAATGCTTAAGCAATGTGACAATTTTTGCTTTATCTATGTTAAGAGGCATTGGCTGTGATTTTAACACACAGTCAGCACAGGAACACATTTATGGTAGAAGCAAATAAAAAATTTCCATGCGTCTAGATTGTGATCCATCAATTCCCTACCATAAGCAAAAGTGCAACAGCAAAGCTGCTGCCATTAAGACAACTTGGTAAATGATATTATCATATGACCAAAAAACTCACTTTTTATCAGATAACTGAATATTAAAAGTAGGGTTTAACTTCAATTAAACAGAGCAAGTTTAACTTCAATTTGCAAGGTGAACAAAAATGAGTTCAAAATCTCGCACATTAGTAGCTATCACAGTTAGAAGGAAAACATCTAAAGAAATATAAAATAGCATGAAGAGAAAGGAAATAATATGCATAAGGAATGAAAAACAACCCAGCAGCAATACCTGCAAAGGCAGCTATCTTAGAGAGATATAAAAGATTCTTTCTGTCAGACAATTTTAGTTTCAACTTCATAGACACCTGTTCTTCTTCCTCTTCAGCAACTGAGTTAGACTGCATGTTTTGAGTGAGAGCCAGTGCATGAAGTGTTTCTGAAGCAGAGGAAAATTGATGAAGGAACAAATCATGAAGCCAAAGTAGATCTGGATGCTCCTTCAGGAAAATGGATAGCTCTTCTGGAAATTCTTCCCCTAGCCTTAAAAGCTCCGAAAATTGTCTTCTTTCATAAAGCTTCTTGAAGACATAGTAACTAAATCCCCCATTAGGTCCCAAGCTTTCATGCTGTGCACACAAACCACAGAGACATTATTGAAGGGAAAAAAACATTTGATGAAAGCACAACCGAGAGTAAAATATCAATACTACCAAGAATAAGCAAGAATACAGTTTCTACAAAACACGCAACACAAAGTACATATAGAATCTTTAAGATTAAATGATACCAATAGTAACCATAAATGATCATTTCCAACTAGCCAAATTTGTGTGGAAGGCTGATGTTCTATTCAACATTGCAGGTGTAGGAAGTGTAAACCACTTATTTAGATGAATACTAGTGACTCATTTCAGGTGCTGCATCGAAAATACGGCACCTTTTTGGAATATGTATTGTGCTCTCAGAGCTCACAAAACAATAATGTTGCATTGTGCAACCGCGAGGAATGCATGGTATACCTCATGCACATTCGTTTGCACAGTCTTTCTTTAGAAGTTCCTTCCAACAACATTAAAAAGGTTTAAAATGGAAGAAGGGAGAAAAAATTATGTGGAGTTCTGTAACTTTGGTTGAGCTGTGGAGTTTGTGGTAGGTTCGTAATGAAGAGATCTTTAAGGAGTTCCCAACACTAAACTCTAGCTATGGAATAGATATGTGGAGTTCTGTAACTTTGGTTGAGCTGTGGGGTTTGTGGTTGGATCATAATGAAGAGATCTTTAGGGGGTGTTTGGTAGAAGATTTTTTTTAGGATTCCCGAGAAACTGAGGTTGATAATCTTATTTACCCACGTTTGGTACGAAATTTCTAAAAAATTTCCGGGAACCTGATTTTACCAGAATTTTATTGTGTAAAATTTTCTGAAAAGACCATCCAAGAATACCTCCCAGAGGATGGTATTCTAGGATTCCCATGGCAAGGAAAAATTTAACACAACCAAACATAACATCAAGAAAATTAACCCAAAATTCCCGGGATATTTTGGCCCACCAAACAACTTTTTGGTAACATTCCAGGAAAAACTCATTTTTCTATTATATTTCTGGAAATCATGATTCCCGGGTAAAAGAAATTTCTCTTCTACCAAACGCCCCCTAAGGAGTTCCCAACTCTAAACTCTAGCTATGGAAAAGATATGGCCTTCAGTTTTAGGACTGCAAATATTGCTTCTCAGTGGACTTCAATTCTGCCTTAAAGTCCTATCCATAACAGAATATTTGGTTTGCTATGCTAACAAAATCATCATATCAAATATCTAGAAATAAAAGGGAATAGAAGCAATACGGGTGGGATAACAAAGGAAAAAAATCATACACATACCATTATATTTCTCAGTACTTCTGAGTCATTTACATCACAACATATTGTCCACATAACTTCGTAGCATCCATGACGTTTGGCAATTGATAGCAGATGTGAAGTAACCTTCATAATGGCTTCTTCACTCAGCTCATCAGCTCCTTCAATTGAATCCTGCAGAAGTAACCAATTGAACAATGTAATCGTATTCCACACCAGGATTGCAAGGATAAGGTAACCAAAATAGAATAATAACCTTATGGGTAGCTTCAAATTTTTTGACTTGTTGATAAAGAGATTCAAGAAGAGCATCTCGCCTCTCCCAATATTCATTTAATAGACCTTTGTGTTCTTCTCCACACTCAATTTTAGCTGTAACAGCACCTGAATATGCCTCGAGTAGCACTTCAGCTAGTGCTTCTAAATGATTATACAAATCTAATTTTGCTTTTTTATCAAGCCCAGATATTTCATTTAACAACTGAAGTAGGACGGAAGCAACACTCCAAATCCCTTTGCGTACCACAGGTTGACAATACCAAGGTGTTAAACCTTCAGGAGGTGGATACCATAAACGGTTCTCATTCTTATAGTTGAAGCATGTCTTAATTATGGTAACACATGCAGTAGAGAGTTCACATGCCCTCTGTATCTGGATTCCAAATGGGTGCTCTGGTTTTATAAAATATTCCAACTCTACATCTAAGCAGTAAAAGAAATCTTCAAGATCTGAAACCTTGCTGTAGAACACTTCAGCGTTATCTCTATCCATCAGAAGGACAGTATTCCGACGAGCTCTCTCACCAACTAATTGTATCATGTCCCAAAGGGCGCCTGACATCTGAATATCCAAACTAGAATTTGAGGAGGCAACACTAGTTGAACGATTCTGGCTAATCATATTTTGCAGTTCCCTCAGCTGAATCATTGCAGATAACTTTTCCCCATGCTCCAAGATAATTTGCAATGCATGTCCTGGAAATCGGGAAAAAATAATATAGTCATGGAATGTCTACCTGTTGTTCCCCGTGTGTTTTATTTTCTACCATTTTCCTAAACCTATAATTATTTATTTTACTGCCTTACTTTATTTAATCAATTTTTTACAAAAATGGCTGGGAAAACACAATTATTAGCTAAATAAACCAAACACATCATTACAAAAAATCCCATCCTAAGAAGTCTAATGACAACTAGAATTAACAATCCTCGTGCAAATCTAAAATATAAAAAATATAAATATCTAACAACAACTTTCAAAGCTGCTTGATTGATTTATTCACTCCTTCCCTCTATAATTAAGCTTATATTATGTTTAAATCTCACATGTGAGGCAAAGGGAAAGAAAGAAGATAATTAAGCACCTATTCATTTAGTCACAGTATAAACCTCCTACCTTTCACTCATTCACACATGCTGAGGCAGAGGAGCAGATAGGTGATGATTGAGCTTATCTTCGTTTTATCCAATTTATAAACCTCAAAATCCTATTAGTGAAAAAACACTCAGCTAAAGTTATTTTAGATATACTTCATATGAAATCATGCTATGATGTATGATTATTTCCATCTGCACAATTTGAATTAAATTGATCATCTAAACATTATTATGAGGTAGCTGGTTTATTTATTTTTAAATAAAATAAGGTTGGTAGATAAATAAACACTTGTACTCATATAACCCCCACATCATATAACAACCAACTTAACACATAGCAAACAAGTTAGTTGGATATGGTAGTATTGTAAAAGGGATGGTTTGAAGCTCAAACCAAAACAAATGCACTTTTGGTGAATAGACTACAAATTTCATACTCTGCCTAGAACACAGCTCCTCGTGACATTTGGATAAGGCAAGAAAGTGAAGGAACTGTTGATGCTTCTGCTGTTTTTCCAAGAGTTGGGTGGAAACAACAGCCATGGCCAAAATCTCTGCACCTCTAGTTGTTGTCCAGTGTTTAGCTAAGGTGTCAATGATTGATTTGCTCATCCGCACACAAACATTGGTTTCTCCATCCCTTTCAAATGAACCTGAAGCTTCTAGCTTTTCAAGAGACCTGTCAACTTGCCCAGATGATAAAAATTCATTGAAAAGATGATTCAATAAAGCTTCTGATTCTTCATCTTGCGCAGTTCGACGTGCAATCCCACTCAAAACCGCCCTTTGTTTATCTCCAGTACCCCATGCTTCAGAGCTAGCCCTTCTAGGAGCAAAATTACCTACAAACGTAAGATTTCTTATCTCTTCTTGTGCAGATCTTTCATTTGAGCTGCCTTTGCGAGATAAGCTTCGCTCAGGTGGTTCAACCCCTCCAAGTATGACAGCCTTCTCGGGTATTGCCCATATTCCAGCTTTCTCTGTTAATACAACCCATGCACCTTCTTCATAATCATCTGCAGAAGGAAGGATTGAAGCATCTAGTACTTTTCCAGCATCATAGGGTAAATCAAATTGATAGAGTCGTGTAGAGTTTCTATAATAATGGGAGACAGTTGCTGTTCCATCCCCAGATATTATGACTGTAGATCCTGAAGGCTTCCCCCCTATCCGAAGCCTCATGGAAAACAAGAAGTCTTCATCTTCAACTCTAGCTTTAGGGATTATCACCTCAATCGGGGCTTTTTTCTCCAAAATCCTGTCATTTGTAGTCTCTACACCCAACCATGATTTATATTGCATGGTCAGAAGAGAATACTGCAAGTAGCTTGAACTGCTAATCCGGTCCTTACAAAGGGTTGCAACAAGAATGGTAATCACTTTACCATGATCATCTACCTGCACATCAAGAGGCCAGATTCCCCTTTGACCAGCCAAATCCTTCTTAATGCCAACCTCAGCATCTGTTCCAACAATTTCCTGAGACCAAAGCTTTGAAACATGTATATCAGAACCAAACTCTACCCTGAAACACTGTATCTCATGGTCAGTCAATACCAAAAATTGCCAATTTGACTCCTTAGAAGAATGGTGCGGAAAACACCATGTCAGCGACCTCGGGTACCCTTTTTTGCTAATGGGTTGACCTGAATCACCACCTTGGGGAAGGAAATGAATAATATTTTCATTTACTTTCGTTCGACGAATGCCAGAAGGACCGCACTGAAACTGCCAAAGTTCACCACTTGAGCTACATGCAAGGGCAATGCATACAAACTCACAACCAGGAACTGCAGAAGCAATCAAAGAGTTAAATGTGTGCAATCCATTCAAACTACTTCCCAGCTTACTTTGCCGCCGCTGCCTGTGGAAGGATGATGTTTTCCCATCAGGAGTCAAAATAGCCTCCAACTCATCAGAAGAAGCAAGACTGGTAACCGGAGCATTGTGTGATTGAGAATAGATGTCAGGCCAGTATACAACAGCCCGAGTTTTTCGATTACACAAAACAACAGCAACAGAGTTACAATGTTTTGCAACTTTATTCGTCCCCGCAGACGCAGCATCACAATTAACCACACAAAACAACCAATTACCAACAACATCATTTTCGCCAATGTCTCCATCGTTCAAAGGAATTTCAAGAACAACACATTTCGTAGAAGACACAGGAGACAAGTAACTCCAAAGATAGACCCTGTTTCCACAAATAATCCAAGCAAGGGATGTACTCTTGTCGATCCCACCAGACGCGCAATATTCAACTGCATTGCATTACATCATATCTCAAAAATAATCGAACTCCGAATACACATGCTATGCTAATGAAATCAACTAATACATCCAATTGTTCTCACCAGGAACTCGTTTATGCAGCAACGTGGCTTGCTCATCACGAACCACTTGAGGAAACTCCGCAACAAAAACAGGTTTAATTGGATCTGTATTGTCACCTTTTCCACTTCGAACCCTACGCAATGGGGAAATAGATAACGTTGAAATATGTTGACCAAAAGCACGTTCGATGAAGGAGTGAATAGCGAGTACCTGGCAAGGACAGATAAGCGAGGAGCCCAAGGAGCGGGTGTTCCGGTGCTTGGGCGGTTAGGGATGGCGTTTCCGATGACGGAGGTTCGAAGAGGAGTGATCGGAGAATCCAGCGGTGTGGGACCGTGACCTTGCTCTCTCCAAGAGCTCGCGTTGCTCTTCTTCTTTCCAGAAGAAAACATGATCGTTCAGAATCGCCAGGTTTTAGGGTTTATGGGGTTTTCACTTTTCACTCACACAAGAAAACATTTGAATCCCAAAGAGGGAAATGAAAGAAAAGAACAAAGTATTTAATAATAAAAGTTATATTCTAGAACTTTATATTCGATTCCATGTTAAAAGTTCAAGCAAATTTTTTTTCATTAGGTATTTACTATGAAATGATAATATATTTTACGACTTCATGTACATGTAAATTTGAAATTATAAAGATTCTAAAATGTCCCTTTTGATATATATATTTTTTTTTTTGGGTTTAATGTTTTCGCAGGAGATATAATTCAACGTTTGAGAAATACAGTGTTAGAATAAAATTATTCACAAGACAATAAAAAACGGGCGAATAAAAAATAATTCATAAAGTATGATTATTTTATTAATTTATATCAAAAATAAATATAAGCATACATAAGCAAAAAATATTATTATAAAAAAAATCTCTAGTTAAAAAATTACATATGAATTTTTTTATTTTTAACAACTTTTGAAAAATTCAATAAGTACAATTTATACGAACAATGGCTACAGGGAAGGAGAAGGGGGTGATGATTCTCGCCTCCGGGAAAAAAATTAATTTATTATTTTTTTAATAAAAAATTATGAATAAGTAGGGGTGTTCGGTCTAGGTTGGATCGGATTTGGAAGCAAAACACATCTGATCCAATCCTTTCGGTTTGATCATGTAATCATTCATTCGGTTTAGATTTTTTTTCAAATCCGATCCCATCCAATCCAATTTTTTTCAGTTTGGATTGGATCGGTTTTCGGCTTTTTGAATATCCTAAAATTAGTTTCATGATTATTGTGCAAATAACATCTTTTGTATATATTGGCTTTGTAAAAAAAAAATTGAAATACAAAAATATCAGTAAACAATACTATAGTTGATGAGACGTGACTAAGTTTTTTTTTGGATTTAGTTGATGAGTTAATGGGTCTTGAGTTTAGAAATTTTTGGACTATGATTGAAGAAAGGACAAGTAGGTAGAGAATAATTAATATATTGGATCGGTTTTCATCAACTCATCCGAAAATCGATTCAATCCAATAAAAATTTGCGGTTTTCTTTCGGTTTCTGATTTTTCGATTTTCGGTTTATTCGGTTATTGGTTTTTCGGTTCGGTTTTCGCGATTTGAATCGGTTTGGATCGGTTGATGAACACCCCTATAAATAAGTAGTCGTTTTGAAATTAATTACGAAAATATAGCAGTGAAACAAGTCCCATAGGACGTGACCGGTTGGAGAGAGACACACCCCATATGGGCGTGACCGAGGAGAGAGACACGTCTCATCTAGACGTGTTCTACCAGGTGCTGCCACGTGGCACAAAAGTCAACAGTTTGACCGTAAAACTTTGGAAGTCCAAAACTTTTGACTCGGGTATCCGAATTATGTAATTTTTTTTTGATTCCACATAACTTTTCGAGATCTACGTAATGACACCTCATTTGGCATATTTTGTCTCTCACAAAAAAAATTGAATTTACAATAATGATACCATAAGAACGTTTAAACTCAAATTAATAAGCAGAAAATGATTAGAAACATTCATAATAAAGATCCGTATGATTATGGTAAGTTATGATAAGGTTAATTATGTATGTTATTGAGATATATATTAAAATTTTGAATGAAGAATTTTATGAAATTTATAATTTTATTCGGTTAACATCTGTCGGTGACAGGATATCAAATAATTTATATTAAAAAGTTAAGTGAGTGTTTTTCGTTTTATTTTTATTTTTAAGTTTTTGTTCATGATTATAAAAATGTTAGATTATTTTTAGTAATAATTATAAGGTAACAAAGTCATGTCATTTTTAATAATTATGGTATCATTGTTGTAAATTCAAAATTTTGTGAGAGACAAAATATGCCAAATGAGGTGTCATTACGTAGATCTCGAAAAGTTATGTGGAATAAAAAAAATTACCTAATTCGGATACCCGAGTCAAAAGTTATGGACTTCCAAAGTTTCACGGTCAAATTATTGACTTTTGTGACACGTGACAGCACCTGGTGAAACACGCCCAGATGAGACGTGTCTCTCTCCTCGGTCACGCCCAGATGGAGTATGTCTCTCTCCAACTTGGTCACGCCCTATGTGGGCGTGTTTGACTGCTATATTTTTGTAATTAATAAAACGACTACATTTTCGTAATTTTTTATTAAAAAAGCAATAAATTATTTTTTTTCCCTCTCACCTCCTCGTTCATTTTTATTTTTATTTTTTTTATGTAAATGGAAATTGAACATAAAACAAAAATAAACTAACGAAATTCTCCATCACTAGACCAAATCTAACCACTTACCTCGTTCACTTGTGAGTATTTATTTATACAAATAGATGGATATTTGAAGGTATTTAAGAATTTAAAATGAAATCTTAAAAATCACCAAAAGAAAACAATTAAAATGAACTCTGATATTATAAATCACAATCTAATTTAATAATTTAAAATTCTTGCCAAGAAGAATTTCAAATAATATATCAAAATAAATTATATATTTTGTAATCGTCAATTTATATGAATAATTATTATATAATTGATACATACATATATATATATATATAATAACTTTTATTATTATAGGTTCATTTAAAAATTCATTATAATTGATGATCTTTCATGAAACGCATAGCCATCTCGTGCTCTAATGCAACAATAATCTCACGAATCTGCACATATGCGAAAATATAAATTTTTCTCATCTTGCTAGGATTGTTAGAAGGGTTACAGGCCCCTCTCTTTTTATATCCACAGAACTAGTAAGTGTAAAAGGTTGAAATAAATTACTTAATAAAAGAATGCATTTTTTTTGTGTTGTAATTCAAGGGGATGAGGTAATACGAAGCATAATCACATGCATATAAAACCAAGATGTGCAAGCGTACGAGGTAGTGGCTAGTCACTAGTGGGGAGAAAATATTTTTAACATATAATGAGCTCTCATTTTCTACTCTAAATTTTTAGAGTTTATTGTTTTCATTTTTAAAATGATAAATATATGAAAAATGCATTATAGATGTTTGAATATATTTTAGTGTGGCTTTTGTTAAAGGGTTTTATCATTGCATTAGTTAAGTTTTGTAACTTGCGACAAACATAATATTGATCAATTTTATAAAAATTCGTAGCTTCATATTTTAATATTAAGAAAATAACAATTCATTTTATTTTTTTGTTACAAATAACAATTCATTTAACTAGTATAAAGAATTTAAGTAATGTATATATAAATAGTAGTTACACTTCACTATGCAACTTGCGAGGGAGTGGAAATGTAGAATTACACACGGAAATAATGACGTTAGACGCTCTCACATAAACTATAAAATTGGAGAAAAAGGACATTTGAACCTGAAGAGAAACAACATATATCGTATTTCGTTCATATAGGAGAAAATACATAATTACACAGCACCAGAAATTAGTGCACATGGACCTTCTACATAAGAGATCTCCAGAGGAGATGAAACAAACAAGTTTTGGAATCCAAAGAAAAAAAAGGCTAAAAAGAGTTCTTTCCAATCTTCTGTTGTCTAGGCAAAAGGAAAATTGTTATACGTACACATATGCAGATGTTGTATTGTATCATGGTTCCAGCTTCAAGGAAACAACTCTTGATTGTCTGTTGGATTTTGCAACTTTTAAGAACACTGCAGATAGGCAAGCCGGTGCCCACCAAGGCCGCCGGACCTTTTGCTCCCCTTTCAGACAAGCCACTATAGACATGAGCAATAGCACACAGAGGTTAGGGGCATGTAAAAGATAGGGACATTTTATTTCAACAACTTGCTGAAGTAAAGATTCCCTCCTTCCATCTCTTCAATGTTGTAATGTTGTCACAAGAATATCATCTTGTAAGAAAGTCACAAGACAACAAAACAGAAGAAGCATATGCACATTCCATGTCTCCTTAAATATAAACACATCACATGTTTAAGGAAACATTTTGACAGTTTCGGATAATCAGATTTTTCAACTACAAAGAAGAATATAGTGCAAACAGATTGTCACATCTGTAGGGAAGGAATACTTCCAAGAAAATTTAATTCATAAATTGTCTTTGCAATATTGCATAACAAAGTCAGAAAATTATGCCTCATGATAAGAATCTGTTAATGGTTGCCTGTATTGAAGAGACAACTGTACCGAAAACAGACGCATGATATCAATTTCAAGAGATATCTCACCAATACTAAACCTCTAGTTTAATCTTTCATCTAGTATATTCATGTTCCCCTAGATTGTTCAAATGGCATTAAACAGATTGTTACAACAACGATGATCAAGCCATATCTCAGTGGATGAAGAGCACACAACAGATTAGTAAAAAAAAAAAAAATCAAATGAGAGTTTATTGGTGTGTCATTATCTGTTTACTGCTTAAGGGAGAGAGAAAAACCTTTAATCCGTCTTAATTCCTTGCACAATGTGATAAAGTCTCCCCACTTCATGTGGCAACGTCTAATGAATCGAAGGATCTGTTCAGTCGTGAACATAGACATTCCTTCCAGGTATTCTCCATTAACACCATTTTCTTTAAAAATTTGCCGGTAATTACCAAGATTTATAGTCTCCAGCCAAAAGCCAACATCCTGATAAAACAGACAAAAGATGAGCGAGAGCACTGCTGTTAGTTTATATTCTCAGTTATCAGTTACATTTGAAGATGCATCATATGTCTGTATAACGGCACCCAAAGAAGAAGAAGCAGTCAGAAGATTATATTCACCGAGATTAGATCCTCAACAAACAGCTCTTGTGTAATATGTACAGTTCACGTTACAGTCAATAACATAAATGAATTAAATAAAAGATGTAGAAGCATTTTAGAGCTTAATACATTATATCAGTCATTCATAACAGTGCATCCATTACATTGTAGAGTCTGGACCTATAAAATAGCACTGAGTATGCACTTACTTAAACATTTAACAATACATAAGAAGAATCATACTGCAATCTTGTGATCTTGACACTCATAATGCATCACCAAAGTAGAATATGACAAGATGATTCATCTTCATCTATATAAGTTTCAACTTGAAATTGATATATGGCTCTAATAACCTATTTAACTGAGCAACTATTGACAATGATAAATCATAAGCTTGCCATATTACTGATAAAGGAACAGGGACTGAGGGCATAATCAAGACAACTAATATTTACAAAACATAACTGCAACAACAGAGTTTAAAATACGGTATCTCAGCGAGATGCATATGGGTGGCTTTGCTGTAGGAACTCGTCAAAATGAAGATTTATAACCTATGCTTGTGCTGCACAAAGGTGTAAGCATTCGGTGTGGGACTAATATTATTTGCTTAGAGAAAATAATGTTAAATCCCTCACTTTTTAATGATATTAGAAACTCTAAGTGTCAAACCGAAGAATTGAACAAAGTTGTCTAGCATGAATTGGAAACTTAATTTAAAAACCAGATAATCTGCAACTACAAACGAGAGTCACAGTTCAATCAAGGTAACGAGATTCACTGGTAAAGGCAATAATGCCTGCACAAGTTTGATTAGCAAATCATGTCCCTGAGTTGAGAAGGACTTCAACATCATCCACCAAGTTCCCCCACTGAAAGACAACATTATATTCAACTTTTCAACACACAAGAACAGGCCTTGTGTCTTATGAAATACAAGACCTAAACTTTCTGCTTCAAATTTATCTGAATTGAAAGAAGGATGGAAAGAAAATAGAAATACACAACAACTGTTATGCTAAATTGCTAAAAAGACCTTACATAACAACATGGCAGCAATCAAATTAAAAGAACAAAAAAGATCATAGACGACCAGACCAGATATATCATTCTATAAGAAAATTACTGAAGCAAATGAGCATCAAAACCCAAACTACCATCGAGCAAGTTCAAGTTATCTACCAACGAATTGAGTAAAACCAACTTATGCAAAAGATCTAATTATATGTCAAAAGTACAAATCTTATTAAAAACAGATTATATGTCATTTTTTATTTTTATTTTTGGAAAATATATATTATAATTAAAAGAATATATCAAATAACTGAGGGATTAAAGAAAGAGGGAAAGGAATGATTAACCTCAACAGTCCAGATGAAGAAATCAAGAGGCTCCGGTGACTGTCCTCTGTTCATTTCCCAAATCAAACTTCCCCAAATACACCTGAGCAGAGACCAAACAGCTCATCAAAATCCCCCAAAAAAAATATTTTTTTTTCTCGAGAAAATTCATAAGAAACTTTTCCCAGATAAGAAAATGATAAAGGGTCGAACTGACAAGGAGAAGATTAGACAAACCACTAAAATTGAAGCTAGAATTGCAAGATCTCAAGAACTCGTTTTTTGGGGAAACCAAACAAGAATTAAATGAGAAAAAAAAAAACAAAAAAACAAATAAGCTTACCACTTTGCGCGAGTAAAAATTCAGTTAAAAAAAGAAAAAGAAAAAAGAAAACTACATTAGAGATGAAGAAGAAGAAGACAGAGAGAGGAAGAGAGAGAAGGAAAGTGGTGTGAGAGAGAGAGAGAGAGAGAGAGAGAGTGATGGGCACCAGCCTTTCTCAGCTCAGAATTGTATGCTTCGTGTGTTAACGTGTTTGCTACTGTCCACGCGATTCAACAGCATCACAAAAACCACGCGCCAACCTTGCTACTATCCACATGCTCGTTCATCCCCCCAGTCCTTGCTATATGCCTGTCTCTCATTACATTAGTTACATGTTTAGTTTTGACGCTTATTATTTTGTGAGACAACAGTGTATATTATAAATAATGTAAAATTATGTCATTTTAAATGAGGAAAACAGATAAATAAAGGAGGAGAGAGTGGACAAAAAAATATAAAAATGTAGGTCCTACCTCTTTATGAGAGTGAAATGACACAAATTATGTCATAGGACAAATATTTTTTTCTTATTTTATTAATGGTTTCGTTACTTCTATTATTATTGTAGATGAGGAATTTTGCACCAAATATATTTATACGAGAATTCACATATAGATTCTGGTATTTTAAAAAAAAAATCAGAACTCACATGTATATTCTAACTTTTTTGTGTTGCTGCAAAAAATAAAAAATTGGCGGCAACAACACTAGTACATTTGCCTTTATTAATTTGGTTAAAAGATTATTTTATACAATTACATTTTATTTTGTAGGGTTGACCGGTGGCGATGATTGGTGTAGAGGTGGCCGATGGCTGGCCGAAACTGACCCTCACATGCCAACAAAGTATGTGACATTTGCTATTTTATAACGTCCATTCCTAATCTGCATTAATTCACCAAACAAATTGATAAAATGATTGTTAATAATGGTACGAGGAGTTCAAAACCCTTTACAAATGATACTTCATTAATGGGTCAAGCGACAAATCACAACGAATGGGTTGACACCACATGACAAATCATAATTAGTGAGCTGGCCCCACATCTCAATCCAAAACTTTAAAGTTGTAGGTCTATGGGTTTTTTACACTTATATGCTCCTCACTTGGTTTATGTCTAGCCACTGTGGGACTTCACACCACTACTTACACTTGAATATTTCCAACATCCTACCGTTAAGTGTGAGGCTCAATATCAAGCTCCCCTAGGGCCTTGAAACATCATCATCTCCAATTACATGGCTCCACACCTTGGCTTTGATACCATTTTTATGAATGGTACGAGGAAGTTCAAATCTGTTTACAAAGACCGTTTAAATTATCACCTTATACTTTTAAGGGGCAAGATATATTTACCACAAAAAATGTTTACCACATTTACAACCAACTTAACCACCGTTGAATTTTTGTCAAATTTAACGGTTATAATTATTGGATTTATTGAAAATTAATAATTAATTAATAAATGCAACCAAATAATTCTCAATAAAACCGTTAGATTGATGAAAATTAATGGTGATTAAGTTGGTTGTAAGAGTGGTAAACTTTGATGATGATAAATATATCTTTCTCCATTTAAAATATGATTAAAGTAAGGAGAAAGACCCGTTTATAATTTTTTTTTTTACAAATACACTATGTTCTCCCGGGAGAGCATAGTGTAGTTTGTAAATAAAATTTTTTGTAAATATAACCCTCCCCTTAAAGTAAAGGGGGAAAGATATACTTACCACCATAAAAGTTTACCACTCTTACAACCAACTTAATCACCGTTAATTTTCGTCAATCTAACTGTTATAATTTATTGAGAATTATTGGGTTGCATTTAATTAATTATTAATTTATAATAAATCCAATAATTATAACCGTTAAATTGACGAAAATTCAACGGTGGTTAAGTTGGTTATAAAGGTGATAAATATTTTTTGTGGTAAGTATATCCTACCCCATAAATACTTCACAAAATATGAATGTCATGCACATATAAATACTTTACATAGAGTACAAATTTGGGATGGAAAAGAAACTCTACAATAGGATGTGAAATGCAAAATTAAGATGGAAAATAAAATTAAGAATTTGGGATTAGTCAAAATTTTAATATGTTAATTTGCTCTATCCTCTTTATTCTTGGGGTAACCAACTTGGAGAAGAGATTTCCTACCTCACTCAAATGATTTCTAGTATCAACTAGACACTTTATATCCTTAGAATCACTAATCCTTAATCCGCTCATATATATTCTTCTTTAAATATATCATGGATAATATTTTTCTCACCTCCCTTAATATTTGCAATATATAGAACCTCCATTTTTTTTGGCCAAACTTTAATCTCCTCATTTGATTTTTTAAAACAACCAAGCAATAAAGTTCTCCAATGAGTGAAAAACAATTTCACATGATAATGTTCATGCTGAACTCCTAATTTTATTGCATACCTTTGCAGTGTTTAGGCGACATTAAAAAATTCAACAATATTTTTTTATTGTAAACATGCCATTTAGATCTCTCATCGATGATGGTCGAATCTTCTGCCTATGGCAATTTTCCAATCACTTCAAAATAATTCTTTTCCATATCACATTTGTATAACTTTAACAATTTCAACTTTGCCAATTGTGTAGTTACAACATCATTTGGTAATTCAGGGAATGAACAATAGGCCAATGCAAGACCTTCAAGTTTCTTTATATCTCCTACAAATGAGATGTGACTTAATTCCTAGTCTTAAAGGAGTAACAATGAAAATTTGTCAACGATTTGAATGACATCACCGGCAAGGGTCAATCCTTTGAAAATTTCATCTTGTACTTTCAATCCTGTATATATGCGTAGAAACTTAAAATATGAACAATCTAGTTGATTTGGCATTTGTCACACGACTATAGATATCTTAATGAGTTGAAGTTCACATTCACATTCTCTTCCAATGCACACTAGATCAATTTATTCTCATTTTTTAAAATTCCAATAGGTGGAACTAACTCTTGTATTTTGACACATTCTCCTTTCTCATCATCTATATCTAACAAAAAACAAGAATTTATGAGCTTATTTTTAACAGCACTCACTTTGTTCCTTCCCCTTCATATGCATGCTTCCTTTTGAAATAGAGTCCAAGCTTCTTCGTTAGTTAAGATTAATAATGGAATTTTGATATACCATCCAAATTATTTTATATAAAAAATATTTGTCGAGGAGATAAAATTATCTCCATCAAAGTGATGTAGTTTTGGGGTTTGAAAGAATTAAAGAAGGATATTTTATGAATTTTTTTGTTATATAAGTTTTATCAAAACACCTTTCATTAATTCCTCAACTCTCAATATTTAATTAACATAATTAATGAGTGTTAAAATATTTAATTAACATTTACTGATACAAAATTAATGAGTGTTAAAAATATTTAATTAACATAATATTTGTTTGAATAATATTAATTAATATATTTTATTAAAATGAGTATAAAATTAAAATATTTCAAAAGAAAATGTATCACACTTAATATAAATTACATTTTGACAGAAAGATTATAAACCATTTTTATATATATTTCTTAGTTGACATTATCTATATTTTTGCATGTATGCTCTAAGCTTTGATAATTTTTTATTTGTTTCTTAAAATTTTTAAAGTGACTCCGTTCTCCTAATTATTTGGTTTCACCGAAATTCTTAATTTGATCACTATTAATAATTTAATTTATGTGAGATGTATAAAAATAGTATGTTCCAGGTGTAAGTGATATATTAAAAAACGTTTGAAATAAGAAATGATTATTGATATGTATATTTTTTTAAGCAATCTATGAATAGATAAAAGTATATATATATGGGGCTTATCGTTTCTCAAGCTGCTTGAGATAATTTTATCTCTGACTACTAAATCATAACCGTACAAAGATGGATCAATGATGATAAAGAAAGAGAGAGAAAAAATCATAATCATTCAAAGGTGAATAAATAAATATAAGAAAATAAATAAACAAAACGATGTAGTTTTGGGCTGACCAGAGATAAATATATCTCAAAGAGCTTAGAAATATTTCTCTCTTTCTCTCTCTCTCTCTCTCTCTCTCTCTCTCTCTCTATATATATATATATATATATATATATATATATATATATATGAGGAAGGTTATACTTATAATCTTTTTTTTACAACCTCTTACAACCATATCTTAACATTGTTGATTTTCGTCAATCAACGATTAAGATATTCGTAAATTAAACTCATTAATTAATTATTAATTCACAATAAATGATAACCGTTGATTGGCGGAAATCAACGGTGTTAAGATATGATTGTAAGAGGTTATAAAAAAAAGGTTGTAAATATAACCTTCCTCTATATATATATATATATAGACTTATCGTTTCTCAAGCTGCTTGAGATAACTTTATCTCCGGCTATTAAATCATTACCATACAAAGATGGATCAATGGTGATAAAGGAAGAGATAAAAAAAAGGAATCATAACCATGTAAAGGAGAATCGATTAATATAAGAAAATAAATAACAAAACGACGTAGTTTTTGTGTAGACGAAAATAAATATATCTCAAACTGCTTAAGAAATATTTTTCTCATATATATATATATATTACATTTTATCAATTATGCATTTACTTTTTAAACTTTACTCTTTCTTTTTCTAAGCATTATTAGTTATGACTTATGAGCAATTTGTAATAACTTTCATACCAAATACACTGATGTCGTGAAATATATAAGATATGAGAAAATCGTTAGATATTTATTTTTAATGGGAAGTTAGAAAACCTTGAAAAGAAGCCTAAGTGAATGGTTGATTGTCATGCAAAGTCTTCGGAACTATAAATATTGGTATTAGATAATTGCTTGATGTATGATTGTATGATATCAAAAGAGATATAAGACTAGAAGCTTTGTACAAATATAATGATAATAGTGAGTGTTGGAATATATATATATATATATATATATATATATATATATATATATATATATATATATATATATATATATATATATATATGTGAGGCAGGATCCTTTGACACCGGTGTCAAATTTGAAGTTTGATACCTCATTTGAGAGCCGTTAGATCAACGACTCTGATTTGTAAGCATGTGACACCATTGATCTTTTTTTATCTAACGGCTCTCAGATGAGGTGTCAAACTTCAAATTTGACA